CGCCACGTTGCTAAGAAACAGCTTTGTGGTTTAAATCCCGTCAGATACTGAAACACGACGGCAGGATGGATGTTTGGGTCCATTTTGAGTGTTCGGGGTTTAAACCGCTTCATCCGTGTTCTTTTGCTAATTCAGAGTCGAGCAAAACATTCCTCATTCCTTTTTTTTACCAACCATCCCATCCTGGGGGAGTCGTTCCCAGGCCAGATGAGTTATCCTTCCAGTCAATTCTGGGTCTACCCCTGGGTTCCTCTCCCAGTCGAACCTGTCCAGAACATCTCCACAGGCAGGCGCCCAGGAGGAAACATCTTACAGAAAATCAGAAATTGTTTACACACATGGGTTGAATGTCAGACGGTTGAATGTTTAAAGCTTGAGGCCAAAGTGACGTTCCCAAAAAACGTTCGACTTACAGCGTGAATATGTAGAATAACTTTGCAATATAGAAATCCCCCCAAAAATCTACGACATGCACACACATGACCAGGTGTGTTCACCACTGTGACCTTTTTGTTGTGTTCATATATGAACAGATGGATTCTGACTGTATTTATATGTTGTACTGGAGAGGGTCCAGAGGTAATTAGTGATGATCTATAATTAATGTTTTTAATATCATCTACAAAAGTGCTATTTTGTGAATTCCTTCATTGAAACTGCAGCTTATTCTGCATGTGCCACCTGTAAGCTGAGGGGTGTTGGAGGACGTGGTTTTAGTCCTTGGCAGGCTTTAAGCATTCATATTGTAGGATGTAGAAGTGATGTTACCCACGTCTGTAAATCCTTTTAGGGGGAATAATATCTAGATTTGTTTTTTCTGTAGGTCAATGAAAACGGCCCTTTTGTGTTTCTGGTAAGCAGCGCATGTTGGTTGGTTGCAGAGTTACAGTCATTCCTTATTTAGGATTAGCTTCTTCTTTTTGTCCAATGAAGATCTAGCACAGAAATCCTGCTAATTAATGCATTTTTGCAATTTAGGTAGCGTATGGGAGTCTGTTTGAAACGCTTGGCCATGCTTTGTCCGTTTCCTACACACACCAGCCTCATTCAACAGACACCCTTTGTCTTAAATCAAGATCTTTGTCTTCTGGTTGACCTCCGTCTCCACCATGATGGTTTGTTTCAACGCCCACATTACTGCTGACGTTGCTCCAATGCATCCGTCCATCTCAGGTTGCATTTTCCTGTTACACGTAAATAGATTCCCAGAATCTTGAACTTCTTTGGTTGGGACAACAGCTCACCCCAAACACTCAGGTGGTAGAGTGGGCTGTCCTCCAAGGTTGGGTTCGATTCCCCGCACAGCTGAAGTGTCCTTGGGCAAGACACCGAACCCGAAGTTGGTCCTAATGGCAGGCAGCACCTTGCATGGCAGCTGGTTGGTGTGTGAATGGGTGAATGAGGAACAGATTGCAAAGCGCTTTGGATAAAAGTTTTCTAAGTGCAGAGCATTTAGCATTTACAGAAGCAACGGTTCTCTGGTTTCCAACTGATTCTCATCCTCGCTGCTTCACACTTGGCTGAAATGAAGGTCACAGTTTGATGAAGCCAGAAGAACTGCATCATCTGCAAAAGGCTAATCCGCAACTGTGAGGTTCCCAAACTGGACGCCATCCTCAGTCTGGTGACGTCTTGAGATTTCGTCCATGAATATCACAAATAATTAGACTAATTAGAGTCCAACTCCCACCGGATTTGACTTTGGTCTGGAGGGCTCACACAGGGTAGGAGATAAAACCTGTGTCGTGGTGATGATGAGGTACCATTAGCAGGCCCGGCTGAACGCTCTGCATCAAATGAACTCGACTCACACTGGCTTTGAGAACTTCTTCATTTATTTATGGAAGGTGGTGCTGCTCTCAAAGAATACAGCATCTTTTGGTCATGTTTTAAACATTAAAAAACTGATACTGATTTAAAAAAAAAAAAAAAAAAAGTCACGACATAAACCACCAAACTGACAAGGACTGTACATTTGTACACAGACGGTAGCAAAACCAGACTACCTATGAAAAGCTGCTACTTACTGTAGAACTAAACCAACATTTCAACTGGCTTCGGTAAGAACGCTGAAGGCTTGCATAAGATGCGTGGTGACATTTATAACGCTTAAGGTGCCAAATTGAAAGTGACGGACTGTCAGCCGTTCTCAGAGAGAGTATTAATGGAAGGATTGTTAGAAACACATGCAGTGATGTGAGAGGACTACAGCTGAGTCAGACAGAAATGAGTGAAATGAAGTATTTTAATGGCATATTTAGAGCCACAACACATCCTGGGTGACATCTAAAAATATAATATTCATTTCTCAAGGTGCCCTCCTCACACATAAATACTTCATTCATTTGATTTCTCCCTTCGGGGACAGTTTTCTCCTCAACATAACCCACAACCTTTTTTTTTCTAAACTGATTTTGTTGGTTGAGAATGACGAACACTGCACATACAGCAGTTGGCCTGGAGGTCGAATATGAAGTTAATATATCAGCTACGCTCTGGTTAAAGCTAGCCAGCAGATCACATGTGCAACAGACAGGAAGGAGGCTGTGTGTTTACACTCTGCCGGTCTTCACGTGGTATTAACATGGGATCTGGGCTTCTTATCTAGATAAAGAAAAGCACATGTTGCACCATCTGACACTCATCTGGAGGCGCTCGAGCTTGTATCGCGATCGGACGCAATCCGTTCAGTTTCGCCACGTTCTAAAGAAAATTTATGTTCGCATGTCAGATAGAGTAGCTTCACCTTTTCCTGCGTTCTCAAGCTGACTGTCACAACTTTACATAGAAGCCTTTCTTCTGCACGACAAAATGATAAGGAGAGTCCATAAAGCATCGGACCGGGAGATCCAAGCACCATGATTACGTGCAAGACGTTGACTGGCAGGGTCAGCCAATCAGCACTGGTGTTTACAAGCTCCTCCACGAGTTGAATCCAGCAGTATACGGATTGTCATACCAACAATATCATGGCAAGCTAGTGAGGACGCTCGGATAGTGTCCACAGGGATGGACTGCACATCCTGAGTGGAGGATATGTAAAGGTTTGCTGCGTTGGAGCGTAATTATTTTCATCATCACTTGATCTGCTGATTGACTTCCTGAACGAATCAATCAACTGTTTGGTTCATAAAATCTTAAATAGGAGGCAACTGGTCTTGTCTTTGGTTCCTGGAAGCCAGAACAGCGAGGTTTACCAGAAACCTGCACACAAACCAACACCTGCTCTTTGGTTTTCATACATGAGCTGAGGGGGGTCATCAGAAATGTAAAGCACCAGACTGTCACAACGAAACAGCACAATACTGAACAGGGAAGAAAAAAAGAAGATCAGGAGAGACGAGATGTAGCTGGAGTCTTAAGAAATGTAGTGTTTGTCCAACATCCACGTACACCTCAGACCCAGCATCACTCTGAGACCAAAACTGGTTCATGTTCAGGAAAAACCCAAAGCTGAGCCTAAAGCTGAGCAGTCGGATGCAGCGAGGACTTCACAGCCCTGTACAGAGGGGAGACGCAGGAGATCCAGCTCCTAAAGGCAAGACTTAGCAATCTGAAGGAACAGGGACGCTCCTTTGAGGATGTCCAGAATGTCCACATCTGGACAGAGAAGCCGAATAGTTTGAACCAGAGAAGCCGTCTATGCTAAGCTACGGTCCCGACATCCCTCCACCGAGCAGATTCACCGCCGTTTGGGTCGGTAACGATTCAACTGAGTTTTAGGTTGTTGACAAGTTTGTGGTGAACCCACAGAAAGCCTGAAATGAACATGCAGGACTCTCCACCAGTCACTGAGACCCGATGAAGCTTCTTAGATGAATGTTAAATGACTTCAAGAACCAAAATAAAAACCAGTCCAGTTTCCTTCTACTTAATAAGCACAGCACCTCGGATCATATGTACTGTTTATGTTTCCTCAAGCTTTCATCCAACAACTTTAGCAACACATACAATGAATGAAATCCTAACGATGGAGGAGCTAACTATGAAACTGCTAGTGAAAAAAGATTAGTTTGCTTCATGAGTTTACTCGAGGCGTCCTCTAATTTTGAGATCCCACAGTTGATCAGTCAATGAGGGCAGAAGCTGTAAATTCAGCAGCCTCTGATCATACTGATTGTCACCCTGATTCCTTGCAATTATGTTAATTACAAGGATTCATCAATCATCATTAGTGGTTTACCTTCAGTGTGGCGCCATCTGCTGGTGGAGTCAGTAATACAGTCAGAAAACGCACCAGAATCATGTAGAAAAAGAGAGAAACTCTACAAATAGTGTCTTTAAATGAGTGACAGTCACAGTGAGATGGAGGTGAATGGTGACACAAAGTGGTGAAACACGGCCGACCGTCCTCACGTCTAGAGAGCTGACTTACCTTCAGCTGTATCAGTGATATCTGGGTTCAGAAATTTGTCAATGTACAGTGTATTGTGTCGATTCTCTGCCTGGAACGCAGCTGATCTACTGGCTAATCAACGCCGATACTTTGTGCATCTTCAAGTCTTTTTTTTTTTGTTTAGTCACGCGTCGCCGTCCTTCAGCTCGCAGGGTGTTAGGAGACGAGGAGAACGTGAGCACGAGCCAGGAACCAGGAGACGACGGCGGCGACGCTCAGCAGAGGAACCGCTGGAGTGAGGCTGCAGCTGGAGCTCACCGCTGAGGACAGAAGGAAAGACAAAATAATTTCCTTTTTGATTTTTCTGAATAGCTTTTTATGTTCAGTTGCATTATTCTTTCATTTTTTATTATCATGTCTCTGTACGGATGTTTTTATTGCAAAAATATTTTCACCAATACGACTCTTAAGCTGCAGTTTGTGTTTCTACTTTATCAATTTTCTTATTTTTTTCTTTTATTTTTGCTCAAATAAACACATAAACTACATTTTTAAATTAAACATTTGAAGACAGAACTAATAAATTCTGAATGCAAACTATATTTAAATTAAAAAGTCCTGCAAGCGACTGCACAGTTGTATGTTTACAGGTTTTACCTTTTTTTTTTTTTTTTACAGTTTCAGACACGATTGCTCCTTTATCAGATTTTTTAATTTAATTTTTTTATTTTATCCAAACCTAGCTGTGGTGTATTTCAGCTATAAATGGTGCTTCTTTAACATGCACACAGGTGGTGAGAAAAACACAATAAAATAGCTTAAAAAGTACTTTTTAAAAAAAAAGCAGAAGACAAGTTAAAAACAAGGCAGAAGAAAATGTAATTTTTATTACAGTTTTGTTCATTTCTATGCACGAGTGAATGCATTTGAAGAGCTCATTTGCAAAAACAGATAACTTCGTCTTCACAAACCTTCAGGAAACCAACTCTTCCATCGTCTACCTGAGACAACGTCAATCAAACTCAAGTTATCTCTACTTTTTTTCATTTCTACTGAGTCACATCCCCTAACCCAAACTTCAGTTTGACTGATATTATCTCAAGAAAACAACAAAAAAAAGATTCTTCATTTGTTTCTCAGTCTTTACTTTTGCAATATTGCTTATAATTTTGAATTCACATGTAATTACTCATGTATAAAACCTTCAGTAACACACAGTGTATGCAGGTAATGTAAGTCAGGTCACTCACTGGGACTTTTATTAAGTTTGTCAAAGCTGCAGCATGATTCATTGACTGACTAACATGAATTAACTCTGTGTCGTGGTGATGATGAATCCTTTTCTTTTAACGCTAACAACCCCCCAGAAGAGACGGATCTGCTTGTGTCATTCGTTTAATCCACTTTTCAGTGACAGCAAATAGAGAAAATATGCTAACTTCACTGCTAGTCATCAGCCGTCATTGTAACCCAGTAAACACGGTGTTCACGCTGCTCCAGGCTCTCATTACATCATCTGGCTCTCCTTACAAAGCCAGCGCTGCAGCAGGAGGCCAAGAAGCAGCACAAACACGACACTGATGGAAACCGCAAAGGCTGTTTAGCTAATTTGTTTATCACATCCCTATCAAAGTCGAGTTCGCCACCCAGGTCCCGAGTGATGACGCAGGTGGCGGGTTCTTGTTCGTAAAGTCGCCGTCGTGCATCAGATACTGTTTAGCCAACAAACGGAGACGCTCGGCCTGCAGAGGCCTGTTTCATAAGACGAGCTGTAGAGCGTAAAAACGAGGCGATGGCAAGAATTCACGCACACAGCAGCACATGGTAAACAAGCAATATGTGCATGAAGGATGAAATGTTTATGGATCAAACCGAAGTGGTTGCAGAATGACGGCACCACCAGCGTTTTAAAGCACATTGTTGACGATCACAGTGTTAGCATGACGTGCAAACCTGCATCAGCTGTCCACCTGCATTGCTGGTTTTTACCAAGAATATGTCAAAATGATGAGATCTGCAGCTCGTCTCAGAGCAGCTGGAAGGATGCACTTCCAGGAACCCACATCCTCTATCAGTCGGGTTATTCACTGTGGTTAAAATCCAGCTTTAATATTCCTCAAACTGACTGTAAAGCCTCATAATACTTCCATAAAGAGATATTTTTTTGTGGACGCTGTTTATTTCTTAATTAGTTTACGATGCTGCACTTTCACTTCTAGCACACAGACAATGATTAAAACAACATCAGGTTTATTTAAAGTGCTCAAATGAGAAAACGTGCTCCAGCTTTTCTAAACCAGCCTGACAGAACCAAAGGAGTCTGGAAGGCTGGTCTTCTGCTCTGGATTCCACTGAAACACCCTTCAAACCACTCGTGCAGCATGTGTATAATCAGTGTTTATGTGCGTGTGGTTCTCACTCCGGCAGCTTTTTCCATCTCGTTGCAGCATCCCAGTCACGCAGCTGCAGATGGGCCCAGTGCCTTTACTGGTGCAGATTTGCTCACAGCCTCCGTTGTTGTCCTCGCACCAGTCGGACTCTGAGGAGACATCAGAGGTCAGAAAAGTTTCTGGATGGGATTATTCATGCCCGGTGGATGTCGGGTTCTTGAGGACTTTCCGACAGTTCCTGGACATGTTCTTGCTCCTGTTATGTTTAATCTAAAGTCCTGCACTTGTTCAGAAACCTGACAGCCATGGCTAGAAGTAGAAAGAGCTCAGTGGTGTCTTCTGTGAAGTATTACACAGCTAGAATGCCATAAGTCATAAAAAAAAAAGGGAGGAAAAAACGAAAGTGGGATTTCTTTGAGTGTTCATCTTGTAAAAATGGAAAAATCTTGGAATCATCACATAAAACATTTTTCCATGTGTCCATAAGGGTTACCAGTACTCCCTCTACATGCAACAGATAAACAGATAAAAGATGATCAACTGGTAAACACAGCCTGCAGTTCAATCCAGTTCACACATAACCGCTTGGATTCTGGTATTTTTTCTACTTTTACAGTTTCTGGTTCTGATAAACGGCGTCATTTTGGTGATATTTTGAAGACAAGGTGCTTTTAAACCTGCCAGCGGGTTGATTAATCAGACAGATCGAGTTGTTTTGACACATTTCGGATCATTTCGTATTATTTCTGGTGACTTGTTTGTCCTGGAACCTCTTCCTGCCTGTTCCATGCGTTAACCACAGTGGAAACAACAAACCAGGAGGAAGTGAAGTCCTGAAACGAGCTGGAGACTGGGCTCACCTCTCCGTCTTATCGGCCCCACAGACAGTATGTGCTCTTTGTGGTCGCCGTCCTCCGAGTACATCCTCCTCTTGTGTGGACAGTTCTGGACGTACAGAACATTAACACATCAATACACAGCAGAGCGCTTTCTATCAGTCTGAAGGTTTTTTCCTCGACGTCTCACCACTTTGCAGGCGTTCGTTTCGGAGTCGCACAGCGAGACGTCGCAGTGCAGGTGGACCTCGTCGTAATCCCCGATGAACTTGAAGACGGTGACGTGGAAGCGACAGGTGAGCGAGACGCCGTTCTCCGCCATGCCGATGGTGTTGTCCTTGATGTTTGGGCACCTGAGGACCAGACTGTGGTTACAGGAGGCTTTTGGACGTCCCGTCAGTCACCAGCTTCTCTTCATTTAGCAGAAAGCAGGTGCTGCTACTTTCAGGTATATCATTAAAAATACAGCAGTTTGGCTTTTTTTGACCTACTATTAATCAGTGCTATTAAAATGCAGTCAAATAATACCTCCAGATACAGTGGTTTACTTGAACTTCTTTGCTGTTTTGCTCTGTTTTAACTCTCATGATTAACATGTCTCACAACAGGAGGCCACATATAAAAGTATGTCAGGCTTCTCAGAAATAGAAACAAAGCCATGATGTGTCTTGTGAGCGGTGCTACGCTCATATTTCTTCAGTTTAAATGTCTATTTTAGTCACAAAATGTACTCTGCGTATAATACGAAAAGAAGAGAGTGTCTGTTTGACGCAGTGACATCTACTGATGACGTAGAAGTAAAAAAAATCAGAGATTAAATGTTAGATTTTGTCACTCTAAATGCGTTTCATAGTTCCAGTGATGCTCTGGGTCACTCAAACAGTGACTCACTTACCGTTTATATATAGATATTAAAAACTGCAAAAATAGATTTAAAGAAAGCAATAAAACATTCATGGCTTCACTTTCCTTTAGTGCCTGAAAGCCCGGTCCTCCATATGGACAACCCAGTGCCATAAACACTCCCACACCGGGTAAAAGGTTTCGTCTTTGGCACGTACGCTACGTTTTACGACCATCCCACAGCTCACAGTGCAAAGCTTTGTCATATAGATGTTTGTCTCTGCCCCTGTCAGGTCTATGGCACTAAAATGACAGTTTATGGCACCAGATAGTCAAACTAAACGACTTACAGTGGATTCAGGAAGGATTCGTCAAACTTTACTGTGTTTTAGATTTACTTTAGATATTTTTTTTTACTCTCAAAAGCCTCTCATGACATTTTTAAGATAGGTTTTTAGGACTTCAGAGGAAACATTACAATCTAAAAACCAAAGTAGCGAGACATATTTTAGAAACACATATCAGCGGGATTGATGTAATTACTGCCACTGCCAGCAGGGGGAGACAAAGGTTCTGTCCTGCAGGTTTAACCCTCTGAACTCCAAGTAGTTGTTGGCCAGAGGCAGTACAGTCATAGAGCGACAAATCATTAAAAAATAAAGATATTAAAGTGCTGTTATCAATACTGGAAGACATGAAACTCTACATTATGTAGATGTTTTGCTGCTGACATTTTTAAAAATGTCTCTCCATGTTTGTCTCCTACAGGATCCGTGTAAACACAGCCTGCAGTTCAACTGAAAACAGTCTCTCCGGTGTGTCAAAGAGTGCAAGTGGTTTGCTTTGGGGAGTTTTTAAATGAGAAATGTAATGGTGAAGTGTTACGACGGCGTGGTACGTTACGCCACACAGGATCCAGACCGTCACAAAGCCATCTTCTCCTGATTCGTTCTGTTTTTACGGCTCTGATAAATTATGTCGTTATGGTCATTTTTTAAAGAGATAACATGCCGTTCAAAGCAGATTGCTAAATTTGACAAGTTATTATAAAACCAATGACTTCATTCATCTAATAATTCTGTTTTCTTTCCATTCCCATGTCATCTAATGACCCCTCATTTTACCTTGAGACACCTTTAAGGGAACCAGTTGAGCATGTAGGGAACAGCAAAGGATGAATTACGATTCCAGTTCAGCACCAGCGTTCGGCATGCTCAGCCCTACAGTGTGTGTTTGGGTCCTTCGGTCTTACCCTCGCTCTATGATGATATATCGGAGTCGGTCGCTGCTGTAGCGGGACGGCGTGGCCCAGCACATATTTACAATGAGGATGAGCTGGTTTTCGTCAGCTCCTTCCACAAAGACGCCGACGAAGAGGACGTCCCGGGTGCTGAGCACCACCTCGCCCTCCCTGTACGGATGGCGGTACGAGGAGTTCTTGTACAGAGCCATCTTGGTGATGAAGTTTCCCTCCTGGGTCGGTAAGGTGAGGTTTATCACGCTGGAGGAGGGAGGACAACGGTCAGCACTGCACCAGTAACGAGTCCTGTGTGGAGTTAATGGTTTCTACAGAGGCGTGCTGCGTCTGACCTGAGCATGGGTTTGAGGACAGTCTCCAGCGAGATCTTCAGGTCGAGCTCGTAAGCGCAGGAAAACTCCACGTTGATGGTTTTGTCTCTGGTGATGACGTTGCCGGTGTTGTTCACGCTCTCTATCCACACAGTGTTCTTGTACATGATGTGGGTGCCGTTCGACTGTCAGAGAGACGAAGATTTATCTATATATTTTCTGATAATTCACTTTTGATGGCTGTTTGTCGGCTTCGTGAAACCGTGAAATCTCTCGACTGATGTAGTCGAAGTTAGCCTAGCTTAGCATAAAGAATAGCAACAGGTGTGAAGCATGCCCACATTTAAGGTAATTCGGTAACACAATACACAAAAAGAAAAGCTGAAATTTGTGCAAAGTTAGCTTAGCTTAGCATAAAGAGGTTCAAGCAAAGGGGAAACAGGCAGCTTGACTTTGTCAAAATATTCCACCAAAGCTTCTGTTTATTCTGTACACAGACAGAGATGCAAACGCCACAGAGTGTTTGAAGAAATTCTTGGCAAACACCAGCTAGTTGAGTGTTTCTTTGACCCATCTGTGGCTACAAGGCTGCTGCTGCTGCTGGATGTTAGCAGAGTTTTTGATAACAAGGTTCTGCACAGCTTCAAACAACTCTAAATAATACGACTAACAATTCTGTTTGATGTCGGGACCGAACAAGCAGACAACATTTGAAACACTGAACTTTAGAGGTGCTTGAAGCATCAACAGTAAATAAAAGATGGATGAAGCCTCTGACTCTGAAAGTGAAGTTAAATCTGCATTCTTTCTAACAGCCAGCAGGGGGCGACTCCACCGGCTGCAGAAAGAAGTTTTATTGCCCTACTTCTCACTTGATTTGTCACTTCAGTAATCATTTCCTCAGACATTTATTGTCTCAGTCACTAGGCTCAAAACTTTTTGAATACAGCATGACATTAGTTTGGTAAGTTTTGATCCCGTTCAGAGTAAAACGGACGATAAAACAGGATATGTTTAAGGGTAAAGGTACACCGTGATTAAAACGTGCATAACGTAGGAATGAATGCAAACTGACCTGTACGATGGAGCCGCAGTGTCCCTTGGTGTTGTTGATGTGGAAGGAGATGAAGTCCTCTCCCTCGATGCCGGCGCAGCGCTCGTCGTTGATCCGGACGTCTTCTCGTTCGAAGCCCAGCTGGAAGAGTTTGCATTTGGAGATGGAAACCTCCATCAGGGCATGTTTACAGGTCACCTCCGCCTGGATGATGTCGTCGTCGCCTGCCAGACAGAGTCAGATTTCAACACTTACTACGTGCGCTTGTATGTTTCTGAGGCGGCGGTTTCACTTTACGTTACAGTTTCCTGGTTGGATTTGAAGCAGGGATTACGGCGCTGCAGATGTATACCCGACTGATACTGGACATGTGGGGCCAATGCCATACCGAGGGAACAACAACATAAAACTTTATTAACTTTGCAGTGAGGTGCTTCACAAACTGAATTATGGCCATTTTGAAACTATACTGAGCATCTTTAGTCGCATTCTGTTCAATTCTATTCAAACATAAACCTTCGCCTCACATCGGCGCCTATCAGACGACATATACAACCGTGACAGGCCAATATCAGCTGATAATATCGGCTCTAATTTAGTGATATCAAAAAAAAAAAAAAGCGAAATTAGAAGAGAATTTTTCAGTGGTTTAAATTGCCTGTTATAATTTTGCACTTGTGATTAGTTAAAACGGCAAGACGGCTGCAGAGAAGCTATTTTTACTGCAGCTACACAAGCCGCTGAAAACTTGAGTATTTCTCTGTAAAATGCTGCAGAGACAGTTTCAGCCCAGCGGACGGAGCAGAGGTTAAAGCTGGAGGTGGGTGAAGCTCTGACCTCCGGTGCTGGTGGGCAGCTCGGGACAGCCGCACAGGTCGCCTCCGTTCTCCAGCTCACAGGTGAAGTTTGTGCAGATCTCTCCTGCACAGGGGTCGTAGATCCATTCTGCTAAAGACACGTCCACACACAATGTTAGCTGTCAAACACAAACACACACAGTCTGACCGGCCAGAGTCACATTTCTTGTCTCACTTTGGTTGAGTCGGTGCTTCGAGGTTGGAAAATGCAATAAAATGTAATTTAACTACGATGCTGAGAGCTCAAATAAAGGAAACCTGACAATCAAATGAATGAAATGATTATGAATCCGTAATAGTTGTGAATGAAACTCACCGAGATCCAATCATTTAAGCAGATCTGTTAAAGTCAGAATGGCAACACCAGCAGACAGCAACATATAAACATGTATTTGAACAAACCTGAATTAAATTATTAATCACATCAGTTTATTTCCAGTATTTAGTTTACTGACAAAATAACCTGGCAACGACTGATTTTTCTGGCAACTTGCAGGCAGCAAACACAAGCTGCAGACACAACGCTGAGTCATGAAGCTGTAAACTTTGCCTGTTTTATACATGTACCAGACACACAGCAGCGTTAGCACTGGTTTGGAACCCTGTTTCTGGTTACCTGAGGAAAGAAAGTCTAATATACAGTCCTCTTTTTGCTCTGTTTTGGTCTTTAATTGCAGGGTTGGATGATAACGGCCTGTGGAGTTTTTTACTACTAGCAACACATTTTGCATAAAAGCAGACAATGATAATATAAAAGAACGAAAATTAGGTGTTTTAATGTTTTGTGTTATGTTTTTATGTATTTTTTGGCCTTACTAATGCCCATTGTGATGCTAATGGGCCTCATAGATGGCGTTATGGATCATCTGAGCTAAAGTGGGCGATGATTTTAGCCACTTTTTAGCTAAATGCAGCTTTAAAATGTGACCGTGGTGGCTTGTGTGTGTGTGTGTGTGTGTGTGTGTGTGTGTGTGTGTGCTGGTTTGGCTGGTGTCTCACGGTGCTCTTACAGCAGTTCTCCTGGGTGATCCACTTGGTGGTGAGGGTGCCCATGGAGCGGCAGGCCTCGGCGTAGGCCGCCAGCGAGCCGCAGACCTGAGCCTTGCGGTGGTTGTAGCAGCCGTCCAGGTAGCAGGACTGGTAGAAGGGCCGGGGGTCCAGCAGGCCGTGGCACGGCTGGAAGAAGCCCTTCAGCTGGGTCAGCTTCTGGCAGGCGTCTTCGCCCTGCAGAGCCAGGACGGCCGAGTTGTCGCAGGACTGAGCCAAAGCCACGTATTGGGTCTCGTCGCAGCTAAAGGAGAAACATCCAGCTGTCAGAGTTTATATGTTATGATGTGTTCTCAGATCAGGCTGCCAGCGCCACCTTTACTTCCACCTGCAAGTAGCGCATGTGCAGCTCTTTATCTACACTGGACCAGCCAGTGTCAGGAACAATGAGGAACACGCATCTGTTGGGTGGAAATACTCTTAAGTTGGTGTTCTTAGTATTCTTGTGGTCTTCTGTTGTATTTGCCTCGCCTATTTCATTTATAATTGTGTTCTTCTTGCTTTTCTTACCGTCACTTTGCTTCTGTGACGTTACAAATGTCCCCATGTGGGACTAATAACGGAAACTCTATTCTGTCCTATTAATGATTAATCCAGTAATTTTTAGTAAATATCAAGCAGCCCACACGCTCCTTCCGTACAGATGGCGAAATAAAAACCTTGCATGAACTATATAAAAGTTAAAATAGAGATTTTGTTGTTGCACTTGTGATGTTTTTTTAACTTGTGTCCCTAACGGTCTCCCATCTGGGATAACAAAACGACTAGTGAAAGAAATATGTAGTCATATCTTATTGTGGATAGCTGGTGTACAGTGGGTTTGTTCTTTTTGCAGAAAGCAGCTGCTTGGAAATGTGGTTGATGAATGGAGCTTGCGGGCGACGGCTGCAGAGTTGGGTGTTGAGTCTCAGCTGGTTCTTCACATTAGACACAGTCGCTGTCAATGCAAACTGCTATGATTAGGTGAGCTTTCCTGTTCTTCCACAAGTGACAGTGAATCCCTCCGTGCCTGCGCTCCTGCCCTCCACCTACCTGTTCTGCATACCGTTGGTCTTCCAGCTCTGGGCCAGCTCCAGGGCGCTGACAGCCGGCTTGCCCCTGGAGGTGATGTAGTCGTCACTGGGGTCCCCGTTGAAATTCCCACAAAGGCCACACACCTTGTTGTGGAGCCGCTGACCCATTGTGATGCTCAGGGTGTTAAAGCGGTTGTAGCGGACCTGGATGTCCTGCGGCGTGTCGATGACAATGAAACCTTCGGACGTGGACAGACGTGTCATCAGGCCTGTTAGAAACGGCACCGATACCGGCGTGCCGTTGACCTGGAAGACACAAGGGGGCAGAGACCTTTACATGTGTGACACAGTTACGAAGCAAATTCATTTTCAGGGAGTCACATTCAGACATTTCTATGCTCAAGGATCAAGTCCTGCTCTGACAGGACAGAACCAGAGTGGAATACAACTGGATGTGTTTTTTTTCCTGTGTGCTTCTTTGATTTTTGCCCCCCGTGAGCTGTTAAATTTGCTTTAAACTCTCATTTTTGGAGTCCAATAGCTGTAAAATCGTTGCTTTTCCTTGATGGATATGAAAAAAACAGCATTATAGTGATGTCCTGTAGCATGGATGGAATTAACTGTCTAAATGTGGATTTTAATGAGCAGCTTCAGTCACTGAAATGAGGTGGAAGGAAGTATTTGATAAAACAAAGACACCCTGATCGTACTATGCACAAGATTTCTGTTTTTACTGGCTGGGACTTAAAACACATTAGTGCTCTTCAAGCTTAAACTCAGTCACCTCGGACAGGAATGAAAATTAGAGTGTCATCTGCGTAAGCTGATTTCGCATTCTTAAGCGATGTCTCGTACCTATTACACTCCAGTGTTTTAAAACCGATGCCGACGGCTCTCGAAGCAGCTCGGAAAAATGTCGCGGTGAATGGCTCACACAGATCAGGCAGGATTAGGGCTCATTGGAAGCTGGAGTTTAAGGCAATCAGCGAGTCATTAACTACCTCTGTGAGAGCACTTACTGTGAAATGATGTGGACCGAGGCCAGACCTGGAGTAGCTCTAATAGGCTATTAGTGCCAAGGTAATTGGTAAATTGGATTGCAAGAACTTTTTCAAGTATTCAGGGAGGAAAAAAAAGGGAGTTTTGAATTCGATGTTTGTTTTTTATAAAGGGCTCTTTGACAGCATGTAGCCGACAGGAAGTAACTCGACCACATAAACACAAAAATCAAGACGATGTGACATTTGATAGAGGAAACAACACAATCTGGCTCTTACAAGTGAATAAGCAACACAAAGCACCCTCAGTGTGCCCCCGTCAGCTCTACAGTTACAGCCTTGGCCGGTCTGGTTTAAATGGTAACTTATGGTCTCTAATATTAGCCAATCTTAGCTCGATATTACTGTGTAACTGACACTACTCACTGACCTTAATGTATGACTCCACTTAACTTTCTAATTGCCCTCTTTTCTCCCTTTAGATCAGCAATGAGGCCGAGATCTAAGCCCCAGGAATCAAGCTTTCTCCTGGGTCACACCGCCAGAGGAGCTGAAACCAGGAGGCTAATCGTCCAGGCTCGGGACTTTGGTGTCTTTCTAAAGTGCTGAGCTTTATTGTAATAGACTGTATTAGGTTCACACACACAGAAGCCAGTCTGTCAGCTGTCCTTAAAAAACACATCACTACCTACCAATAAGTCGGCAGGGAGAAGCTCCAGCACCCCCTACAGATGATAAAGGACTGTATGGATGATGGATGGATGTTGATGTCCAGTTCTAAATGTGAAACAAATCATTTCTGTTTCTTTGAATGGCCATTTATGGTTCATATAACTAGCTTGTGACGATGTGCGTAATTGGAAGGATGAGGTTATGTAGACGGAAAGTGTTTTCATTACTTGTTTCTCTGGTTTGGGCTTTAAAATCCTCATCGTCAACTCCAACAATAACAGCACCAGCAGGTATGATTATGAAAAGCTCCTGCATGCTTTAAAGCTGCATTATTACGGTTTCGCTCATGTACACACTCACTTTCTATACAATATGCCAAACAAGTTATCAAACTGTCCGTCCTGCAGACACAAAGTGACATCAACATTAGGTTTATGTTTTTGACCCTCTGATTAATCTCCGTACAACTATTCACTCTTTTCCTGGCTTTGATTTGGGCCTGATTCTAATCCCGGCACTACGACCCATCATGATATTCCAGAGCTCGATGACCACAACGCCTCACAGGATACCCAACAACACACAGCAGAGTGAAATAGACAAGTAGAGGAACTGAGTCTGAAAAAGTGAAATAAGCTTCGGTCTTTATCAGCTCCTTGGGGAAAATATGCATGTTTTTAAGCTGCTAAATGCTCTAGCTGCTCGAGAATTAGCATTAGAAACACATACGGGAATTAAATGATGCTCCAGGTGCAACTGAACAAGTCAAGCATCTGGATAAACCAACTGACAAACACATGGTCTCATCTAAAACGATTTAAAGGCCCCACATGGTAAATCCATATTGTATTTTGTGGATGCTATAAGACTTGGAGGCGTAAAATAGAAGCTGCTAAGATGCAAAGATGTTTTCTTCTGGCATTCCTCAAACCTCTCTACATTCAGATAGCCGACTAGTCTACATGCTGCTGAGTACCAGCTGAGGAACCGGTACGTCTCTTTGTGAATGAGCAGCTGCGTCACAGTTTATTTCCAGAGCTGCTCCTGAAAACTGTAAAATGTCTCAGACATGAATAAAACACACCAAACGTTCTGCTGTTGGCTGCAGGAGTCTTCCTGCACTCCCAGCATCTGAGGAACTAAAGATCCAGTGGACTGCTTTTATGATTCATGGCAATGTCACCACAATGATGGGAAAATCCATAAGGTTAGCACTGGAGCTGTGCAGCTAATGTGGCTAATGGTGCCATTAGCGATGATGGTAAGCCCACAGGTCATAGCTCTGTGGAAACTGTAAAGCTGAGGAACATTCCAAGATGGTGGACTGAACCCGTTGCCACCGTTGCCGACCGCTTGCTCAGAGGGAGTCCAAAGGCAACTTTGGATTGTTGGGTTCTCCGTTTAAACTCGTATGGCCTTCATGTCACTATGTTAAGCGCTGGGAGATGATATGATAAATTAAGACCAATTTTAAACCAGTAAACTAGGACTGGGTGAGTTACTGTGTTTTTATTTCGCCTGTTGTGCTTCAGTGTGACCTAAACTCAGCCGTGGTTTACATCTGTTGGCTTCTCTCCTGCTCTTTATCTAACATGTGCTGTATTTTAACACAGCTGAATTCCCAACAAAGCTGTTCTCAGTTACATATTTTTCTGTTTCTGTTGTCAGACAAAAGAATGAGCATTACAAAGGGACAGAAACGCTGCCCATCGAGACTAGATGTTGGCCAGCAGTCACTTTAGAACCATTTCCCATCACTGTACTGCTAAACTACTCTTTTAAAACCACAACGCTGCCCGATAAACGCAATGATCGTGACGGAATAGAAAGTCCTGTTTCACATGCTCAGTCACGTTAGTCTCGGCTGCCATGTAATGAGTTGTTTTGCCTTGTGCTGTCAATCACGTAGAGTTTTCTTCCTGAAGGGGGCGGGGCCAGCAGCAGCTTAGCGGTATATAAAGCTACAGACACTAAACAGCCTAGAACAGAACCAAAAGCAGGAGTTATAAAGTCATGTGTTCAGCATATAATGGGAACATGTCAGACTTTCATTAATTTGCTGAAAAGGGGCACAACGAAGGATGTTTAAATTGCTGGTTTCCCACAACGTCCACTGTAGCACCGGTCATTTTCAGGACTAATGTCATTTAATTTGCAGTAATTGCAAAGCAGAAAAGAAAGTTCTCCAAAATCTGGCTACCAACAAGAGCAGAAGCCTCCTCTCACCTTGACGGTGCTGCCAGAGATGAGAATGTTCTCCTCATTTATGTAGAGGTAGACGTGAGAGATGGTGGTGAGGTTGGGCGTGCTCCACTTGTCGAAGTTAGCGATGAGCTGGAAGGAGAGGTCGGGCAGCTTGTGGCAGTTTGTGGACAAGACGAAGGAGCAGGAGGCCGGCAGCCTCAGCGACGCGCCGTCGAACGTCCTGAAGACGCCGCCGCCCGATGCCACGCAGTGCTGGGAGCGCCGGGCGAAGCAGCCTCGGACCCCGTAGCGCAGAGCGCACTCCTCCTCGGCCTTACAGCGCCTCGGGTCGCACTGGATCAGGTTACGACCGATGCACTGGCAGCGTTTGGTGCAGTCGCTGTTCCAAAACAGCTGTTTGGGCTGAAATAAAGAAGGTTATCGATTAAAATCAGAGCTGAAAGGATTAGTTGATCGATGGATTAGTTGGCTGACAGACAAGTATTGTGACTACAGACACAGGTGTATTTCTGAAGCAAAAACATCCAATTTTCCTAAGCTTTAGTTTGAGAAAGTGAAAAAAAACAAACAAATTTTACAACTAGTTTGGACTTAAAGAATTTTTTATATACTTTATGAAAACTGATGGAGCCTGATCTATAATAAAAATCACTAGTTCCTGGCACTGCAGAGGCAGTTTTTGTTGTAAATAATTGTATTTATTGATCACAAAAGTTTGTTTTTATTCTTCCGTACCATTTCTACACTTCACAGAAAAACACCTGCTGCTCAATGAGCCAGAGGTTTGTTAAAACTGATTTAAAGACATTCCCAGTCGTGAAGGTTTTACACAAAACGTGTCCAAAGAAAATTAGAAAGAAAGAAATAAAGATGGAAGAAAGAGAAAAAGCAATGGAGAGAGAAAGAAAGAAAGAAAGAAAAAAGAGAGAAAGACAGATAAAGAAAAAGCAAAGAAAGAAAGACATGGACAAATAGAAGGAGGTAAAAAGAAAGGAACAAAAGAAAAATAAAGAAAAAGCCAAGGTGGAAGGAAACAGAAAGAAAGAGATAAAATGAAAGGAACTATGAAAAAACAAAGAATAAAATAAAGATGGAACATCACAGCAAGAAAAAGAAAGATAAAAATAAACAGAAAACAGAAAGAAGAAAAAGAGAAAGAAAGAATAAAGAAAGAGATAAAGAAAAGAGAAGTAAGGCAGAAACAAACAGAACCAGATGAAAAGAAAGGAACTAAAATAAAAGAAAGAAAAAACAAAGAGGGAAGGAAACAGAAAAAAGGAGAAAGAGATAAACAGAAATAAAGAAATTCAGACAAAAGCTTCCTGACACAGTTTTGTCACAGTGACCTGATCTGGTGTTTAATGGAGAACCACTGCTGACCTCCTAATAAAGAAAAGCCGGGGCAGCCGTCGCCTCGCTACCGCCGTGATGTGGACTCAGTGTGAGGCTGGATGCGGGACTGACCTCGTAGTACTTGCCGTCAGTGTAGCAGCCGCAGTTCTGAGGCAGGATGCAGCTCTTGCCGTTGAGCACGTAGCCCTGGTCGCACTGGCAGCCCTCCACGCAGTCCTGGCTGCAGTCCCTCTGGCCGCGGGCGGGGGCGCACTGGGGCGGGCACACCGACATGCAGCTGGAGTAGTGGCTGTTGGGTGGACAGCTCTGGACTGGGAGCAGGCAGGTTGGCACAGTGGTTAGCTAGCAAGCAGTTTTCCAGCAGGAACAAGTGTTGAGTGTTCTGGGTAAACATTTGTAGATGCTGCTGAATGAGAGTTGATGCAGTTTTACGGCTTCAGTGTCAGAAATGTTGCTCATTTGCTCCGTTTTCAGACGGAAAACGATGGACTGATGTTTGCCTCATACTGGTATTGTGTGGGACTTAAAGCTAGTTAACCGAGCTCAAAAAAAGAATTAAGTGGAAACAGATAAGCTAAAACATCCCCATCAACACCTGCAAATCTCACTAATTCACATGTTGTATCTCATTTGCTTAAAGAATACACAAACAAAATAGAAAATCACACTTGTTGTGGTATTTAGCCACGCAAAGTCTAAAGTGTGAACCCCTGAGAATTTTACCTGAACTCCAAACACGTTCTGGGTAGTTTTCCTCACTGTGGGCTCATTTTTAACCTAAATATTAAATAACACATGACTAGAAGCAGAGAGAACTGTGCAGTCTGGCACAGATATTATTACACAGCTAATTAAATTTTACGTGCTGCCAGGTGTCAACAACACTGGAAAAAAAAAACACAATCTCTAAATAGTGACGATTTTTTACTACGTCTCTACATCTCTAATCTGTTTCCATATTGGTCTTCTACTCGCTCCATGTGAACCCAACCTGCATGTTCAGCCCAGTTCAGCCAAAAAGTCCCTGAATTGTTGTCCTGTGACTGCTGGCCGCAGGTTGCTCACTTATGGCTTCACAGTTACGTTGAAAGGCACAGAATGTCTTGTTTTTTTGCAGACTTTGATGAGTGTAAACACGTGATTACTTAACATTGAAAATGTGAGAATTCTTTTTGTTTTTACAGTTTTTTTGTTCTGATAAATGTTGTGGTTTTGGTAGAAGCGGTGAGTTTTGGGGTTCAGACGGTTGTGACATTTGGTTTGTGGTGCTCGCAGCACTGACGGAGGACAACAAGAGTCAGAAACAATGTTCCTGTATTTTTGGGTAGTTCTGATACTTAATTGTTAGTGGACGTACTTTCAGTGGAAGACATTACGGCTGTTGACAGTTTATTCACAGCAACAATAACAGTTATTTAGGAATGACTCTTACTGCAGCTTTTCAGGACTGTGAGAACCACAAATTGAACTTCATTTACATTATATTGGAGTTGGGGCAGACATCGTGCAGGCAGGTGTCTAAACCCTGCCTTGGTAGCTCTTGTGTCCACTTCACAGCGACAGCATGTTTAGAACCCAGACGTTCACTCACCACACGGCGAGTCACTCCTCCAGCCCGTAACGGGCACTCCTTGGGTCTGACAGGTGCTGGCGTAAACCTGCAGCCAGTTACAGATTGTATCCTGAGCCCCCTGGTCCAGACAGGTGTCCTGCAGGCAGCTCTGGTAAAAGAACGCTGGCGCCACCTTGCTGTGGCAGCGAGCAAACACGCCTCCTCGATCCACAATCAGCCCGCACAGCCTCACCGCCTCCGGCTCCACAAACACATACAGTCCGTCTCCGATGTGGAAGCGTATGCCCGTGTTGACCTCGTTGGCCCCGTTGTCGGCGCCGATGTTCATGTTGGCGTCAGCCACCATGAGAGGGGCGTCGCTCAGGCCGCTTTTCTCCCCGAGGCCACAGCGCGGGCACGAGTCTCCGCAGCCCACCTGGCAGAAGGTGTCCCTCTCCGCCCAGGACATGCCCCAGTCGGTGGTGGTGAGGGTGGGTGGGGATAAGGGCATGCCCTGGCAGAGGCCGCACGAGGTGTTGTACAGGTCGCGGGGCAAAGTCAACAGGAGGAGCGTGTTCCAGTCAAAGGCCACCTTCAGGCCAAAGTCTGTCTCCAGAATGAGCTGCATTCCCAAGGTGAAGATGTTGACCTTCCCCGGGCCGAGCTTCAGAGGGAGGTACAGACGCTCCTTATTCACCTGAGTGCAGACACAACTGGTTCATGTTTGACACATATAACATCCCGGCTGACACAAACACATTCCTACAGAAGCAAACTTCTCGCATCAAGTTTGAGTTTCTAATCCAACTGACTTGTTTTCAAAGTATGTGGGGAAACCCAGGTGATGAACGGATGAATGGACACCGCTAAGGCTGACTGACGGAGCGCCGGCCGATTCCTCTCAGTCTAATTGTAAAAGTGAGAGAGGGCGCGAAGCAGAGAAAATCAGAGATAGAGTGTGTGTGTGCGTGGGTGGGTGCAGACGTCTGTGTGTGCAAGTGTGTGTCATTTCTGTTTCTCCTCAGATCTTTTAGTCGGTTTGTGAACCCGGTCCAAATGTCGCTCAGGGTCGGGGTTTCGTCTGAGCCAAATCCAGCCTGATAAAAGATGCCCATTGAAATTAGATCCACCTTAAGCCAATCAAAGAGGAATTCACCCTCTGCCTGGTTATTCTATCGGCTTGATTAGAAATAACATGTCCTCACAAATGCAACAACTACGACCTTCACAGGTCACACACAAAATATCTGTGTTAAGATAGCTGCGTTATCTCAGGTATTCTCAAACAGAAGGAATGTGATTCATTTCCTCACCACGTACTTACCGTGACAGTGTTTTTGTAGCTTCGTGACACCTCAATTTCATACTCATAGACTTCCAACACAAAGCCCCTCACCCAGATGGCCTGGCCCGTGTCTCTTTCCTCATTACGAGCGGCCAGTTTGAATTGAGGGAAGGTGCCACTCGCGTGGTCCCTGTTCTCCCTCCCACAGCTGGTGGTGGCCAACCTGAGAGTACAGGAGCTCTGCAGCTCAAACGGCACGCCGCCGAACGGCAGAAAATGTCCGTAACCAGCAGCCACACACAGGGCCTCAGTGCGCGGCTGGCAGAAGTACAGGCCGTCGCTCTCCTGGCAGTACTCCTCGGGGTGACAGGGCGCCAGCTGACAGTACACGCTGTTGTCGGAGCCGTTGCAGTAGCAGCGCTCCTGGCACTCCCAGTCCGTCCAGAAAGTCTGATTGGTGGCCAGCTGGCGGCCGTGGCTCAGGCAGCCACAGTCGCTGCGAGCCACACACAGTCCGTCACGCAGCGCGAAGCCGTCCTCGCACTGGCAGCCCTCCTGACACGCCAGAGGACACGGCTCCTCCGGCTCGTCCAGGTTGGAGCAGGTCAGAGGGCAGGCGCTGGTGCATTCGTCAAAGTGACTGTTCTCTGGGCAGGGAAGAGCTGAGACAGGAGAGCAGAAGACAAATCAAGGAGCTGCTGCAGACACCTTGTACTGACCACGTTTATGGGAGTATCCACTCTCTAGCCTCATGTTGCATGTTTCCTGTACCTTCCTATTATTGTCAAAGTATAGCTACAGATTAGCATGCTCAGCTGCGTACCTCAGAAGACCAACATCAACAACAAATGCAAGCAGTCAGTGGAGCCAGTTTGCAAAAATTCAACTGTTGGGAGCCTCCTGAGTTTAAGAAAACTCAGCTAAGACAGAAACTTTGCTGAATTAGTGGTTTGAGAGGTCTCAGTGCACATTTTGAAACTAGTTACCGGGCGAATCCAAACTGATTACAGCTGTCTGCGTGGAAGGAAGCTTCCAGAGACAGATTACAGGTCTACAAGACTAAACAGAAGTGGTTTTGCAGTAAAGCAGAGGTAAATACTGGTGAAACTGAAGGAGAACGCTGGAAACTTCTTCACAGCAGATGTGGTTTCAATAACATAATTGCTTATAAAAGCTGTGTTACTAATTGAACCTGTGCTGTTGATGCTATCACAAGTTAAACTGACTGCTCATGATGAAGGTCAGTACATCAGATTTTTCTGGCAACAATTAAACAGGGTTCTCAGATCATAGCGAGGCTGTCAGCTTGAGTTTTACAGGAATTGTGAAGTTGGTGTTTTTAAAATGTTCTGCAAAAGCAGGAGAGCGAGACTTTGGGAGTCACGACTGTAAAAGAAATTCAACATCAAAATGCAGATGATAGTTATAGTATATTTACCACAGCGACAAAAAAGTAGAATAAAGTAAAATAAAATATTCCTCACACCAAATCCAAAGCTGGTTTTATCTCACCAACATGCTTTGCATTAGCTATCATGTCAGTGTCTTTACATGTGCTTATACCCGGGTTCACTTTATTTTTTTAACCTTTTCATCTTCTCCATGCAGTGATAGGAGCTACTGTGTGTTATTAAAGCTGCAGAAGGCATAAATCCTGAAGAGGAATCTGATAATGCACAGCTCACCTCCTGCAGCTCTTCCTGCTCCGTTCTAAGCCCCTCCCACCACATTTCTCAAACCCAAAGATAGACAAGCGAGAAGCCAATATTCATCTATTCAGAAATTAATTCAATCCTCCGTCTTCCCTCCGTCCAACACACAGCAACACTACAATCTGTTCTCACCATGTGCATAGAGCTATACTATCTTATCTCTGTCGAATCTCCTGTCACAGGCTTGATTTTTTAAAAAGTCTGAAGCCAAAAGGTAGCATTTTCTGCCCAATTATACAAAAAAAAATTCGCCTGCCCTAGCTTTAACTTTGCGTCGTCTCTCCTGTTGTTTGTATATATAGGTAGAATCTGTGTAATAACTAGTATTTCCTATATGGTAAATGGTAAATGGACTGTACTTATACAGCACTTTTCTACTTTGGTGGTATCCAAAGCACTTTACAATGTGTTTCTCATTCACCCATCAATGGCGACGGAGCTGCCACGCAAGGTGCTGCCTGCCACTGGGAGCAACTTCAGGTTCAGTGTCTTGCTCAAGGACGACTGGGATTGACCCGCTAACCTTACGATCATCCGCTCTACCACCAGAGCCACAGCCGCCATCATGTCACCATTTCGACTCACTGAAGAATCTTTGAAATATTATTGTTGCATATATTTTTTATGTACTTTTATTTTCTGCTAAAGTTCGCTTCACCTTCCCCTTTGCTGCTGCAGTGCTGCAAATTTTCCAGCTATGGGATTTATAAAATGCTTATTTATCTTCCCTCTCTGCACATATCTGATTTGTAGTTACCCATCCTACCAATCCGTCCAGTGTTTATGATCTCTCATTGCCATTATCCTCACCCCGACCAGTTGAGGCGGATGTCCACCCTCCCAGAACCTGGTTCTGCCGAACGTTTCTTCATGTTTCCCTCCACTGTCGCCAGTGCACTTACTTAAATAGAACCCTTGGATTTATTGGGTTTTCGGTACAAAATTTTAGCATCTTAAATATTTTACATGAATAACCTTGACTTGTGTACATAGAAATATAGAACACACCTTTTCAGCTCATGAGCCTGTTTCTTCAAAGTGACGCTGTATCTACTCACGGCAGTTGGTGGCGCTCCTCCAGGAAGCGAGGCCCACTTGAGCATCCTGACAGGCGGTGGCATAAGCCTGCAGCGAAGAGCACAGCGCCGACCGGTTCCCTTCCTTCACGCACATGTTGTACAAGCAGTTCCTGAAGAACGGTGACGGGTTCACCACCGCATGACACGCCAGAAAGGAGCTATTCCCCGGATCGTTGATGTTGCCGCACATCCAAGGACTCTGGTAAAGACGCAAGTCTGTGCACATGCGATACAGGTCGTCGCAGTCCCCGTTGCAGGTGAGATCGTCAGCGATGGACCGCCAGCCCTCCGTGAACTGTTCGGTAGATTCTGCCAAGCGTCCGTTAGGTAGACGAAGGTCATCGGTGGTATTGCTGTTAAAGACGCCACACAGACCGCAAGTGACGTTGTAGAAAAGGGTAGAAAGGGAGATGTTGAGGAATCCCTGACGAGTGTAGTGGACGCGGATCAGACCACGGGACTCCACCACTGTAGCGTTGCCCGGTGCTCTGTAGATCATCATTGTCTCCATTGGATGGACGTACGGGAGCGCCACCAGTTCACCGTTCACCTACAACAAACAAACAGTCATAGGTTTTTACAGCCCTTGGTGGTGTGGCTTCCTTTCTAATCTTCATGGTTGTGTACTGGTTTGTGTGGGCTCCTGACCAGGACTGGTTCATGTACATCCTCCACATCCTGCCTGTCATTCTGGGATACTGAAGGTGTCCAAATAGTTCTCATTAGTGTCAGTGCACCAACCTATTTTGCTTTTGGTGCTTGGCTAACGCTATCACTGAGGTACGCTATTACTAACATTATCTGGAGTACCTGTAACATCTTTCTAAAGTAAGACTACCTTTACAAAGACAAAACCTGCAAAAACTGACCAAGAAGCACAGCCATCTGCACAAATCAGGACATTGACTACTTTCTCTGTGGCTAAGGCAATGCTAACGGCTAGCGGCTACCCTGAAACAATAAAGCTTTACGTGAATAAATAAAGTGATGTTAAAGTTCAGCCTCAGTCAGTTACTCTCACAGTCAATAGGAGGTCTAGTGTTTGTAGTGTTTCTATTGTACATATGCAGCTATAATAATTATCCTTAATGATGTAACTTTATATATTTGTCTGCCTTTCTTTATTACCAATGATTGGTGTTAACAGTTTGTTCAGTCCCTGCTTTATGGTGGCAACTCAATGTCTTTGTGTGTTTTGTAGCTACTTAGAAGTGGTTTCTTGTGATTTGCACTTATTTTAGCTGCCTGGAACTTGGGCCAGCTAGTTTCACACACCTGCCTTTTCTTTGTCTTTGTCTCTTTTGTCTGGCAATTATGCTGCTGACCCACAGTGACATTCAACAGCCAGAAAGAGAAAAGAAAACACAGACAATTCAAACCTTCACTGTGTCAAAGTCCAACCCTCCCATCTGTGCCTCCAGGTTAGCCACCGTAACCACCACAGGTCTTTTCCAAGCGGGACCTTTGTTCACCAGCCGCCTGCCGATCTTCACCTCCACCATCGAGCCGTTGGCCGGCACCGGGGCGCACAGCTTCAGCAGGTAGTACGAGCTGTCGTCCGGGAAAAGCAGGAAGGTGCCGTCAAAGGAGGATGTCACGGAGTTCTGGGTGACTGAGCACACTCCCTCCCTCCGAGGGTAGCAACCCAGCAAGCCCACCTCTGCCACACACACCTCGCCCTCTTTACAGGACTCGTTGAAACAGGAGACTTCCCCGGCAGGCCCACAGGTGCAGCGGAGGGTGCATTCGCCTTCTTCGCCGCTGGGGCCGGCCCAGAAGGTGTCATTAAGGGGGTAGTAGAGGCCGTTGTACTCGCAGCCACAGTCGTCGCGCTGCACACAGCGACTGCCGCTGAGGACGTAGCCCGGGTCGCACTGGCAGCCCTCTGTGCAGGGATGAGCACAGTACAGCGGAGCGGTGAGGTCCGAGCAGGACGCCGGGCAGGCACTAGTGCACACCTGGTAGCTGCTGAACTCTGGACACGACAGGGCTGAAGAGGGAAAGACATACGTCAGATGATGCATGACAACGAAGGGAATTCCTGCAAAATGACGCACAGAATCTCACCACAGAAGGTACGAGATCTCCAGGGTCGTATCGTGACACCAAGAGCCTGACAAGCCAGAGCGTACGCTTGGATGGCCTGGCACAGGGTGGTGATGTTATCCCTGTTGCTGCACATGTCGTACACGCAGCTATACACAAATGCCGTGGGGTCGACCACAGCTCTGCAGTCCCTAAAAGGTCCATCAGTTTTGTTGATGAGGCCGCAGTAGTCTGAGCGGAAGTAGAAAGCTTCTGTGAGCGGGTCACACACGCTGCAGTTCTGAGCGCAGCCATCCGTGCACCTCCAGTCGGTGTCCTCGGCTCGCCAGCTGCCTCCCAGCTCCACCACGCTTTCTGCCAAAGAGCCATCGGGCAGCACGGGATCGTCGGCGGGGTCGTCGTTATAGTTACCGCAAAGGCCGCAGGTGTTGTTGAAGTAGGAGCTGGGTAGAGAGATGGATGCATAGTGTTGGCCGTCGTAGGTTACCAACAGTCCAAAGTCTGTTTCTAAAGCAACAGCAACCCCAGACTGGTAAACCCTGACAGCACCGAGCTGCAGCTGGACCGGCAAAGTCTTCATCAAGCCATCCACCTACAGAAAGAAGAAATTTGGAAACGGAACAAGTGGATGAAGTAAAAATCACAGATCAGTCACTAATCTCCAAGTTAGATTGCCACCTCTGTCTTGCAATGCTTTTATCACAACACAACTTTGAAAACAGATCTTCAGCATTATCATTTTGTACTTATGAAAAATCCATGTAGATGCATCCTAGAGGTACTGCTGAAGGACAAGTCATGCTTTTTGCATCTACAGCAGTACCCATGACATGAATCTGGTCATCCTTCCTTGTGAACCTCTATGTGGATGTCCACATGCAGCCAAAATGTATGACGATGCAGACTGTCTGCACTACAAGCATGCCTACTGCGAATATACGAAGAAACCAAGTTGTGCTTTAAACTAGCGTTTGCTACGAGGAGGGACTGTGCTGGAGGTTCTCCATCACACACATCATTATGACCCATCATTCTAAGCGTTGAAGTCGGATTGTGCAGGTGCTTTGTTTGGAAATACGTTTAACCACAAGAGAAGTCCTCATTTCTCCTACCATGGTACATGACGCAACTCAGGAAAAAACACATCTGCATGATGCAACAGGGTAATCTGTAATCAGCTGCTATGTTCCTCCGTGTTGCTCTGTGCTTGATATGTGAGGCAATGTGACCGCTGACGCATATTTATTGCAGCATGAATAGAATCCAACCAAGTCTCAAGAAAACTATGTTTCGCTCCATCTTATGTACGACTGGTTGGCTGCAAGGAAGCAGTTAAATACATGGAAATGATTTGCTGGTTAGAGACGCGTCCGTGATGCATTTCAAACAAAAGTGTTCTGGCAGAAAAGACTTCCCTCAACACGTGATTGAGAATGCAGTGCAGTTGTAGAGGAACTGGTTCTGGTTTGATAGAGTTCTCTCCACCTGATTTGTCTGCACACAAGGAGGCAGAAACCACAAATTGGCTTTTACGCTCTAAATCCACAGATTCTCACCTGGACTGTTCCCAAGCTGCCTTTGGGTAACATGACTCGGTGGCCGTACACCTCCACAGTGACGTCTCTAAGCCAGGACACAGAGGCCACCCCACGGTTCTCGTTTTTGGCCTCCACACTGAAAAAGGGCAGCCCGGCCACCTCCCAGCAGGGCCGGGCCAGCAGGTAGGAGCAGGTGCCCTGGAAGTGGTAGAGGAAGCCGTCGAAGGTGTGGTAGTGGGGGTCTCCAAACACCACACAGGTGCTGGTGCGGGTGGGCTGGCAGTAAAAAGCTCCTTCCTGCTGCTCGCAGGTCTCCAGCTGCCCACATGGAGCCTCCAAACACTGCACTTCGTTATCGGTGTCCAGGCAGCGGCATCGCTGTGAGCACTGGTCGGACAACCAGAAGATTTCCCCTCGTCTGTAGTACCGACCTGGAGAGGAAGCAGGAATGACATGCAGAGGGCTTTACAAGTACTGCAAGCTGCTGTTTAACTGACGAAGCTTGCAAAGGGTCACTGTGTGCAGACATTTCAACCGGTGTCTGAACTTGCCATTGTAGCTGCAGCCGTTGGCAGGATCGATCAGCTCAGTGTCTACGCGGAAGAACCAGCGTCCAGGAATGTTCACGTTGGTTGTCTGTTCAATGTTCACCACGTCGTTCGAGCGAGACCCCGGCAGGTTGAAGAAGTGACCAATGTCTCCGCCATTAAAACCTGACTGGAAAGGGGAGAGGTGTGAGGGACGTGAGCTCAGGTGATTTGTTCGTCACTTCAGCAGCAGAACAGGGTTGTTGTTCATACGAACGGGAGAATACCTGAGCTGTGGTCCCACCCAGTCCTGTCAGAGGATCTCCACCGCTGGCCGTTCCTGTGCTCCATGTGATTTCTCCGTAGTTGAACATACTGAAGAACGCCACGCCATCTGAGATGAGTACAGTTTGGAATGTGTTCACCTTTTAATCAAACAAGAGGATGAAATAGTTTTTAAAAAAAGGAAAAAAGGCAGACACATGAAACATACATGTAACGGAGGAGAATCATCTTAACGTTCACTTAATGTCTACCTTGCAGACAAAAGAGCAGATTTACAACAAATTAAACACAAAAATGTTAAATTGTTTGTAAATGTCTGTAATTGCATCCGGTGTTTTTCATTTTACTCATTGCTCAGCTACGCTCGATGCTACAGTTTTAATCAAAGTCATCCAACAACACCCACAGAAGGACTTCAAAACGGTTACAGAACAAACAGGTTTTGGTTGAATTTGCTTCAACATGTCGGCTTGTGTCTAAGTCCTGGATCACACTCAGATACAGTCGTTAAATAAACGGTTGCTGATCCAGTAGATAAGAAGTGCAGGTCCAGGGTGTTTGTAGCATCGCTTAGCAACAACACAAACAGCAAAGGAAACTGCTAGCGTCGAGCAAGAACAACGCAAATACAGCTACCAGGAGGAAATCGGTCCTCTTTACACATATTTTATGTGGTTCATCCAGCCGGCACGTATAAACAGCATTAAATCTGAGTCGGCATATCGTACGGTCCTGATTATTAAACGTAGCATGTTCAGTCTGAGGGTAACAGATAACAAACTGGATGAAATCATAAATAGCAGATAATAAAAAAAAAAAAATTGTAGGTGATTGATTTATTGGGTTTTTGGCAGGAATATTTTTATTTTTTGAATCCCTCCTGTTCAGACTTTGTGCTGAGATGGACCGAGCATGTTGGAACGATCTGGCTGCACACAGGTCAACCCTCTGAACCACAATCGGTTTCTGAGCGTTTTTTTCTCACTCCTTTCACATTTTTAATCACTGTTAGCTTTTTTCACTGCAATATAAAATCCTGCACGTCTATGGAAACAGCACAGCCACGGACAGAAGTAGAGAGAACTCAAAAAATGGCATTTGTGCTGCACAACACAATAAAAACGAAAGGCTTGAAATAACAACATTCAATATCCAGTTTTTTCAATGTGCACACAAATGTTACCAGTACAGGGGAAAATGGTTGCTCTACACACTATAGATATTTTACTATTGGCATTTGTGTATTTTTTTCATACTAATCTCTTCTCTGCAAACACAGCCTGCAGTTCAGCTGAAAAGTCTGCAGGTCACTGATGGAGTCACTGATGGAGTCACGTTGTATAGATCAGTAGAAAGTTGAAATGAAGCACTTCTTCATGGGTTTACAGTTTCTGATAAACGGTGTAATTTCTGCATTTTGGTTTTACTGATGTCAAGCAGCCCCAGTGTGTAACCTTCTTCAGAGAGCTGAAGGTGATACTGATCTTGTCCTCACGCAATTATAAGACAGTAAACAAGCGTATTTCCAAAAGCTGTTAAGAAATAATGAATAAATAGTAGTCGCGGTTACACGTCAGCGTTTCTTCAGCCTGATTCTAATCACAGGTTCTGACTTACGAGGTGCGTTTACGTGCCCCAAAGTGTTTAATTAGAATATTCTGACATGCTGTGAAAAGTGAAGAAGAAGATTTTATTTCTAACTTTACTGTAAAAACTAAATGACAACGATGGACGAATATTGTTCAGGTTTGTCTGTTGTTCTTTCTAGTCTTAACAGATAATTATTAACCATTACATTTGGTATCAGTTCTGTCAGAAAAGACTAAAGACCAAGGAGGACTGATGGGATGGAGATGTTCTGACAGAGTGTACCCATCAGGAGTGGAACTTTTGGTAAACGTGCAGAAAGGACATATTTATTCCAGCCAGAAAGAGATGATCGGATTAAGTGTTTTAAGGCTGCAAATATTTTCCTATTGAGTGGATTATCAAAAGGTGTACAACACCTCTGTCTTCTGAATCACACCATTCTGTTCTGAGGGAGGTGGTTTTCATTCTAATTGCGCTCTAATTCCAACTATTGGTGAAATATCCGGGTCCATGTGAAGGCAGCAAACTGCAACCAACATAAAAAGTTGCAGCATGCTTCAAGCTTTAACCCTGACAACCATTAAATGCACCAGTTCCTCTCAGTGTTCTGTAACCGTGTGGAAGTGAAGGACCAGGAGGGGTTTTGGACTTTACCGGAGTCGTCTGGCTGCCTCCGTAGAAGGTGACCTGGTGCCACGTTGCAATAAAGACCCAGGTGGCCGTGAAGGTGGGCATGTTTTTGAAGTACTTCCGGACATCTTGCGTCGCCCTTTCCAGTATTTCCGGCTCGGTGGACTCTCGGTAGTACACGTCTCCACGGATGCCGTTGTGCACATCTGCCCAAAGTGGAGCAATGAATGATCTGCTGTCACTCAGCGGAAAAGCCTCTGGTGTGAACTGGCTAACCTGCACGTGGAAGGAGATCACACCATTGTTGTTGACCTGCCAGGAGAAAGGACAGCGTTACGGGTGAGCATCACAGTTTAAAAGAGAATCGCTGCACAGTGATGATAGAGCGGTGACGCAGACTTACATAGATGGAACGGTAGGGGATGTTGAAGAAAATGAAGGGGATAAGCAACGTGATTTCAGAAGAACTCCCATCGTCCATCTTGGGGGTTTCGAGATCCCTATGGCCAGGTCCATACGGATAAAGGATATCCTGAGTTTGAGCTGAAAGGAGAAGCTCAGTAAATAGGCTGTTTCCCATGAGGAATTGGCTGTTGCATAATGTGTCTCATACCTCCTATCTGTGCAAGGATGCTGAAGAGATGGAGCAGAATGACTGGACAGCCTGACCTGACCATTCTAAAAAACACAGAGGGAGAATGAAACGAGAGACCATATTGAAGCCCCGCCACTTTATCTGTGCTGCATTTTCCTTAAAGCTAATGGAAACGCAGGAGGACATGAGTCATAGGACGACTTCCCATAAACAAGGCCGCTGGACAAAAGTGGAAAGGAGGGAGAACCATCAAACCAACGTCACGTTACTTCTTTAAGATCAGGCTCCCAGGTCTCCCCAGAGGAGCCCTGAAAAGGCCCTATTATGCATGCCAGAACAATGTGTCAGGATCACATTTGCCTTACAGTCCCATGTGAGCCGACAACAGTGGACTGCGGGCCTCTCTGTGCCTCGACTCCCTGCAGCTGACAGGACTCTGCTCCAGCGTCTCAGTGTCTGAAGCCGCGAGGCTGCTTAGGACCTCATTACCACTTCTGTTTGGGACCCATCCATGCCTTGTTGGCCAAAGGGAGAGGAGCGTAAACACTGGGGCACTAATGGCTTTAAGTGAGCAGGTTTGAATTGCCGAGGTCCTTGCAGTGGCCCTTTGGGGCTGTTCAGTGCCTGGCTTGGCAAGGTTCCCATTGGCGAAGTTGAATGTACAGCCAAGTTTGGCAGATCCTACAGTCACCATATAGCATCTGAACTTAATTGTTTAATGAGCTGGAGGGGAACTTCCTGACCGTGCATTCAGTGCAGAGAATTTTTTAAAAATAAAGGTGTTATACATCACTGCCGGCTCTGAGGCTGAACTGGTCCCCTTTGGATATTGTACCTTATGTTCAGCAGCTGTTAAGGCTTCTAATATGCGGTTGATTTATTAAAGTAACGCCTATTTAAAAATATATTGCAGCGTTTCGCAGATGTGATTATTGCCGGCTAGCTGGCCTGCTAGCTTCCAGCTGGTTTGGGTCTTTTCCATCACAGACAATTTATTACCAGCAAACCTTTTGGAAATTTCCTGCCAATGCTTTAGTCTGTGTAGTGTTTTAAACACTGAATATAAAGTATTTCTACAAGTAAACATGATTTCAGGAAGCAGAATCTGATACTGTACAGTAAAATTATAATTTGTGAATTTTACTGGCGAGCTTATTTTATAAAAAAATGCCTCCTCTGTGTAGTTTTGGCTTTTTATATGTGAACACATAAAGGCACACTTTAGAACTTTTTAAACGATAAATACGTTTATCTGGAAAGGCGTGATTTAATGCCATTATAGTCACATACATGACAGTGAGATTCGGTGTCTCTTTGACCTCATTATATGACCAAAGCATAGAAAAGCTAATTATTTAGTCCACCTACTATAATCATTGAAGCCTGGAGGAGATCAGATCTGCTTTAGACTATTTAGACCAAATACAAGCAGGAAACTTTTTATAAAACAATTTGAAAACTGACCTTTGGTATGATTTTGGAACCTACGAGGAAATACTCACATTTTCTGTCCAGAAAACATGACGCTCGATGTTTAATTCCTGCTACATGAGGAATGTGACGCCAATTAGATGCTTCTCTCAAATTACCATCATGTCTTCTCTAATGTGTGAATTCTATCCAGGCGGATGCTAAATTGTGTTCAGGTGTGCCAAGGTGAGTGGGCACTGCTGAGAGAGGTCTGCTGTAATGTCATCAGCCTCTCATCAAACACTGTCAACACAAAGATTACCACAATTGCTCTCTTGACTCTTGTAGCTCACCATCTTATCTGACTGGCATTTAGCTCCTTTTAGTGGCTTTTAAAGGGGGGGCAATTAAGATAAAGCTCGAACAAGACAGAACTGTTAGTGTGTCAAATAGGCAACAGGCAACGTGAAAGGTTAATTCAGTGACTGGAGCACATTGAGATGGAGATTTGTGGGCAGATAGACGTCTAGATTGACTGATTTAATTGCCAGGAAATTACAAATCATCAAAAACATCATTGTAAATGCACCTGCTGGAAAAAGCAGACGTATTAGATAAATAGTTTTAACCTAATCTGAAGGGTTCCAACGTGATTAAAGAGGAAAGAAATAAAGAAATATGTTAATTTTCTATTAATAAACATGTTAATTTATAGGATTTGAGACATTTTAACATAAAAAGAGGCTGAGCAACCTTACTGGAAACACCAACTTTTAAAAAAATAAATAAATTAACAGTTTTCTAAACTCATAGCAGAAGTAAAACTTTATATTTGCGGCATTAAAACCCGGCTAAAGAAAACACAGGCTTCTTTTTGCACCAGTCAGGTCATAAATGAAGAAACTTTAAATGAAATAGAGCAGATAAAGAGTGGATCTACTCACCTGCCTTCAGAAGATGGACATTTAGCACCTCACTAGTCTAACCTGGCGATCTCCACACAGCACAGTCCCATCCAGCACAGGACCATCCACAGAGTGATGGTGCTGATGGAGGGAGTGACGGGATGAAGGCTTTGCAGAGCAGCCTGGATGTCCTCACGCAGGTTCAGTTCCACTTCCAGCTCCACAGGTTTGCCGGCAGAAGCAGCAGCAGCAATCCAGAGGGTTTGTGTTGCGTTTAAAACGTCCTTCGAGGGAGCAACGTGGAGGAGATTCACAGGTTCCTGCAGAAGCTGTGGAAGCCTAAAGGAGCAGGTGCAAACTTTACCTGGGATAGTGTTCAACTTAATCTGAGATCAGTGTTTGGGGAATGGGGGTAGGTGGGGAGGAGAGGGAAGCTGAGGGGAGGGACGGCATCGGAATCTGAGGAAGAGAGGGAGTGGAAACAGAGCAATATGTAAGAAGGGGAGAGGGGAGGTCAGAGATGTGGAGAGGATGGGGGGGAACAGTGGAGAATGACTGTCTGGAGATTTGTTTAAATGCAGGAGAAGAGGAATGTTTTTGTACAAAGAGAGGCTCTCACATGGGATGAATGAAGCCTTTTGGGCAGGATCTGTCAATAACACCACAAAAGGCCAAACGATGATAAAACGTGTCGCGGTGGAAGATCTGGTCGGAAACACTGCGGCTTCTATTTGTTTGGAATGATGACATTTGATTTCACTGAAAATGGACGTTGAATTTTTCTCCCGTATTGAAATGATCTGCGTGACAAATCCCCGGCCGGTGCTGCAGAATGAGGCCGACTTAGACGCTGCCTTTGGATCAGGCCTCAATTGTGGCCCAGGCTTTGCCAGGGTTCACTCAGTACAGTTAAAGCTCAGGGCACCCGAGCACACAAACTCACCAAAGTAGTACAGTCTGACTCTGGGGGCATTTATGAACAAAAACCACAAACACACACACAGTCTGAAACCTTGCTTTTCAAGCTCCGAGGAAGGTAGAGTTACAGAATTAACATGAGTCACTTTGGATACTCTGTGTACCCCCTTTTTTAATTACGAACAGCCTCATTTACAAGGTTATACAAGACACTTCATTTCCATAGATGCTGGGGAGATACTGAGGGGAAATCTCAGGTGGATCCACGCTGATCGGGTCTGGGAAGGAGAGGGCAGTCAGTTGGGTCTTTGTTGCAGGAGGACAGTGGAAGTAACTGGAGAGGCAGAGAGCAAGATGTGTGAAAGGCTCCAGGACTGAGGGCAGGCCCCGGGCTCCCATTAAGCAGCACCGAGACTCTCTGCGGAGGCTTCTTTTATACCTCCCACGTCTTGTTGTGTAAATGGTCGCATACTCTTAACCAACCTGTGAAAGAGAATGTCGAACAAAGAGGCACAAAAAAAATTCAACAGTTACAGATGACCTAGTGGGCTGGGGGAGCGTCCCGATCTAGGGTTTGCGTTTTGGGAAATGTCGAGGATAGAGAAGCGGGAAAGGCAGAGATGGGCTGATACACCTGATTTCGTGTTCATTAGGAACAGAAAACATGATGGGAAATGATAACACTTCTTCTCTTTTCTTCTCATACTTGGGTGGTCAGGCTTTACCTGAAGGAATCAGACTTCTTCTGTTAAACGACAAGCGTGCCAACGTTATGCACCTTATCTTTTTAGGTGTTTGGGGAGTTTTACTGTGTATGGATGGCAAAGTGGTAAAAAGCATGTTGTGGCTCCAAAGGGAGCTGCACACAGTCAATAAAAGCTCCTCTCTTGGCACATAGGACAGAAACTGCTTTACTTCTGGGCCCTTCAAGCGGCGTTCTTTGGTGCTGCGAATGAAGCCAACAAACAAAATCTGCAGTTCCACAAATGTCCACTTGAGTTTGGTTTCAAAAGTGAGTCAATCCCCATAGACGCCCCATGTTAAAATGTCCAACTGTACAGCAGGAATAAACATGTTGACAGCCTGGAACGAAACAGTTTTGGTCTTTATAGCCAGTTTCCACATTCATGACAGCTGCACCAACTCAACGATTTATATTTTGTTGAGGTTTAAAGTTTGAGGCAACCCAGTCTCCAGTGTTACTAAACTGCACTCTTACGCTTCAGTTACATTTTTAAGGACACATGTTTTCTGCTGGATTTCGGATCCCATCGACGTATCTTTGCCATTTATTTTACTGCATCAGTGAGTTTCAGTCACCAGGTGGCAGTGACCACAGACTTTGGTTTTCCATTTTGAGGACCCTGAATCTGTGATTTTTGTCTGGAACATCCATGACCGCATGGAAGTAGCTCTAGCCAGAATGATTAACGGTGCTTCTGCTGCTTGGGCATTGGTCAAAGCAGAGATAGGCGCATTAGCTAAATAACAGGGTTAACTGGAAGGACCTGGGGCCTAAACACTGGGATCAACATCAGCTCCACCCAGGGCAGACGCAGCAGCATCTCAAGTCCAGTTGGATTTGGCTCTTTGTTCCCAGGAGACCAGACATCAGAAGGAACAGCCAAACAGTTAAAAAGCATATCTGAATATAAAAAAAAGCTCTTTTGTTAGAAATGGGAGGAGCCAAAAGCATCAGTGTGATTAGGATTGCCAGCCAACATCCATAACATGCGATTAACTTCTTTGTTACGTCGAGTTTTAAGTTGTTTACAAGAGACACGTACTGTATGGAAGGTTTCTATGCAGCAGGAGGGCATTGTGTGGGAACAGGGTCAAAGTATCCAGCATCACACGTTCTGGAGAATCCATCAAGCCTGACCTTCACAAAAAAGGTCTTGGACTGGATATCCACTGAGCTCTGTTCGGCCGTCACCTAATCCGTGGAGTGGGCCACTCTAATTCAACCCCTTATGCCCAGCAGTTGGCTCTGCCCTGCCCTCCTCTCCTTCCCTTCCATTCACAAAGGTGGACCTCCTTCCAGTAACCTAAACCTTCTTACCCCAATGACTCCTTCACCTCAGAGCACAATAGGGCCCGTTCAGCCCCCCTGCCCTTGGTCCCACTTCATAATGCAATGGGGCAGATCAGGGGTAGATCGGCGTACCAACTGCACAGCCAGGTTCTGTTTACTCAACAAGGTGCTAAATGCGATGGACGCAATGCAGCTGCATCAGTCCTCCAGCTTCACCCCGACCTCGCACTAGTGGCGCAAGTTAGGTTGTCGTCCGAGCTTTTGGTGTGATTCATTGTTTGCGAAAATGGATTTGGTCCATCGTAGGGATTTTTGAGACGGCTCCCTCATGCCCCAGTGGTCAAGAACATGTCAGCTGTACTTGTTTAAAATGATCACCATCACAGAACTGAAACCTGCAGTGGAACTTCTGTCTCTGCCTTCTATCTGTTAGAGTCATTAGATAAACACTCAACGTGTGTTTATGACGTAGGGATCGCTGTTAAATAACTATTTTAGCATTTAATTGTAAGTTTCTATTTTATCTGCAGCAACAGAAACTTTTCTGGAACGCTTCCTCGGTGTTTCCATCACAGGGTCCACCAGACTGTTGTAGCTTAAAATCACCGCAGAGGCCAGATTTTAAAATCCTGTATAGTGCAAAATACAGAGACGTGGCGCTGACTGGCCTGATCAGCGCTGTGTGAACCTACTTGGCAAAGGATTGAGTTTAAAACGTGTTCTAGTTTTAACATCCATTGGAGTGACGGGTTAATTCCTGATGGGAAACCCGTCCTGTTAAGTGTGCAGCAATGCTTGCAGCTCTGTGAGGCTTTAGAAAGGTGTTTGAGCTGAACGGTAACATCAACATGCTAACATCCAAAGACGATATACGTATGCTCCAGTATTGCAGGTGATTTTTTAAAATTAGCTTAGCATGTTAGCAGGCTCACAGTTAACAGAGCCAGCAACAGCAAAGCTGATGGGAGTGTCATTAGTTTTGCAGGTTACTGTTTGTTCAAACTAAAAGCTGGACTTGATGATGGTGATAAGTTAGAAGTCAGGATCCTTCTGCATTCTGTGGGGAACTTGCACCAACTGTGATCTTTCCATCTAACTGGCATCAAGACGTTAAAGTCTGAACAAATAATTGGATGGAGGGAGATGGTAGCTGAAAAGTCAGAGAAGCACCAACGTCATTATGACGTATCGTCTGGGAGGAGGCAAGACGTGTAACTTAAAAATAAAAATGTCCGCCTTATGGTGGTGCTGGTGGAAAGGTAAATGAATCCTCTGGGAGTCATGAATGCCTTTAAGTCCATCAAACCAAAAGATGACTGCGTTAGATTCCTCTCTGGATAAGTGAAAACTCTGACCGACATGGAGCGAGAGGAGAAGTCAGAGTACGACCTCAGTCATAAGAGTTTATTCTGCTGACATCAAGAATACACTGTGTGCATCAAATCATTTACGAAACATCTGGCTAAAACCCAAAAGTGATAAATGGACAGTAGTGCTAAACAGGCCTGGCTGATGAAATGATAGCGGGGTGTATCGACACTACAAACCTCATCAACAACAACAAGAGAACTGTTTCACTTAAAAGCATCAGATGCAAACCAGCACTAGAGCAGGTAACACAACATCTGGTCATATAAACAGACTCCAAGTCTGCTCCCTCACTGCCTTATAGACACCATATCCCTTGATAACTGAACCTTTCCACCCTCCATTGCTTTCCCCATGACTTTGCATGTCTTCTGAGGCGCGACAGTCGTCCCTGGTAGAGGCTGACCCCGTATCACCCATCAGCCTGCTCCCAAGTCTGACGGCCTTGACGTCGGGGCGCTCGTGGTGCATCAAGGTAAAATCATTCCTTTGTCCATATTTCTTTTTCTTGCAGTGTATAAATGTTTGTGTGTTTTCATTGTTGTGTTGACATTAAAATGAGCCGGTGTAGCTTCAATTCAAGGTCAGATGGTCAAATTGAAGTTTTCTCGTAGCCGTTATTAAAAATCATCTACTCGACATTTTCATCCTGAATCATTTTTCCGCAGCATCAGCCAGTCTTAGTGGTAAATAACAGGGAATGAGGACAACCTCAGCTGTCGAGGCATTCGCAAATCCTGAGACTCAATGAAAGACTTGGAAGGGATCCAGAATATCACCAAGTTATGGCAGCCTGTCCTGTACTTCTATGCATCAATGTTTGGGTTCTTGGTTTAAAAAAAAAAAATCCCATTACAACATGAAGAGCAGCTTTGTGACTGAATTACCAAATACCTCCTCAGCTCCCAACCCTGGAGAAGGGGGTCCTGATGGTGATGGTGTGTTGAGGGGTGGGTGGCATAGATATCCCACACAGGATTAGAACCACGGTGCTGGAAGTAGGAGGAGGAGGAGGAGGAGGAGGGGGGCAAATAGAGGGAATGCCCCAGAAACACAACACCGCCTGACACGTATGGAATGGACTCTTTGCAGCTCGACTGCAAACGCTCCTGCCAGAAAGAGAGAAGATCTGCAGAATTCCATCTTCTCCACGGCCAAGCATTCAGGCGGCGAAACGGAGCCGATCACGTGTACGTTCTGCCGGTAACACGAGCGATGCCCCGCTCCATACCTTGTCTTTCAATCAGGATGCTGACATGGTCTAGTTAACACGGAAACAGCCTTTTCATTTGTTGTTGTGCTGATCCAGTCTGAATATTTGTCTATTTTATCAGATATAATTACTGTGTTCCATCTGTGGTCTGGGCGACTCTGTGGTTCAGCTGCTACTCACCACACTGCAGTGAACTCTGCCATCAATTAATCATAATGACGTCAGTGCGTCTGCGACCTTTCATCCGGCACCAACATCTTATCAGTTTATGACATTGTGCAGTGCTTATGAAACATGTTGACATCCGTTGAACTGTTTTCTACCATTTGGATAATGTTGATTAGACACTTGTAGAAGTCAGCTGTACTTGTTAAGCTCATACAACAGACGGTTACGAGTGCATGACTGTGTGATAAGATGGCAAAGAGGCTCGTAGAGTAGCATAAACATGAGCATTTGACGTAAACGGCTTGTTTTGGTAGCTTTCTGTATTTTGACAAACATCATGCTGGCGTCCCCATTTTGCCCAAATCACATGGAAATAACTGTGAAACGATTATTTTTTACACGCCTGAGCCTCATGTGACATATTTCTCCTTTAGCAGAAAGCTGCTTTCAGACAGCTGCAACACCAGCTCAAACCATCATACAGGGAACCACTGACTGATCAGCTTCAAGCTCAACAAGTGACATGAAAACATTGTTCATCTCGTTGCAGTGCAGGGAAATCTCAGGTCCTGACACGACCGCTGCCCAACAGTAACACGCTCCATCGCCTGTGGCCTTCCCCAGCAGGACGATGCAGCTTCAGACACCACAGGAAAGTCTCACAAACCCAGATGGGTCGGAGTCGCTTCGGTAGCACAAGAGGAACCTCAGAAGAACAGTGTTGTGATTATGCATGCTTTTGTTTTTTGGCCACGCACTCAGATTTGCGTCTCTGTGACTTTGTTCTTCTCTCCAGCGCTCACCTGAGATGCTGCTCGACATGCTGACGTACGTGGATGTCCGGTTGGTGTTGCAGAAGCGCTGCTACTCTGAAAGGGACGGCAGCCACGTTTAAATCACAAACACATAGTTGTATAATTCTGGCTCAACCCATGTATGTCTAACACCACTGTGACAACATGCAGGGGGCAAGAAAAGGGGTTCCTTGCATTGTTTGAGAACCCACAAACCATCCACCGACGCCTTCAGCACACAAACACCGAACAAACAAAGACTGGCACATCAGCAAAAACACGGCACAGATGGAAAAGCTCCCTCGGAAGAAGCCAACGACTGATGCAGCAGAACATCAGCTGCAGAAATGCTGTCCCGATGTAAGCTGTCTGTATTTATATAACCTTTTTTCCACCTTAGCAGAATGTTTCTCAGAGCTGTCATGCAAGGTGCTCGTCTGCCATCGGTCAAACCACCAACCCGGCAATTAGTGGAAAAGCTGCGGTACCATCTGAACCACAGCGGCACCGTGACGGGACATGGACTTGGCAGCAGCTGCAGAATCCGTTTTCCTGCCTGAACTGTAAAAATAGACCACCGCAATACGCTGGAATAATTATAATTTATTTCTTGAAGAGAAGTAAAAGCACCATGATACAGTACAGGTACAGAAACAGCATTATGATCTGAAGAAAGCAAACCAGAATTGCAAAGTGTCAAGCTACACATAAAACTCTACAGAAAGCAAGTGTGATATAAATTAAACACCATCATCTAAAGAGCACAAACTGTATGACACAGGATCCATGTAAAAATCTGCAAATAAATTCTGTATTTGGTATTACTGGAGGACAGAGGTGAAGGAGTTAATATTTCACAAAAATGTCAAAATTACAAATGCCCATAAACATCATCGTTTTCCCTGAAGTGACACGTCTCACGCACGACGAAATATCGGATCAAACATGAAGAAACACCAGAACATGCAAACCGGCCGCTCGACTCGCAGCGACCCACTCGTCCCTTCTCTCCCCGTGTTGCCACTCATCATAATAAAGTTTAATACAAGTCAAAAAAAAAAACCCAAAACAGATCTCCAGTTGTCTACTACACGAAGCAGGTGTGTGTCAAAGGAGCGGGCCGGGCGGCGCTGCACGGCCGAACCCGGCACACTTTCACATGCTTTCAATCACACGAGGCTCGACTCTTCTCGAAGGTATACTTGGTATAAATGTGCTCAAGAGAAACATTCGGTCCCGGCAGCTTTAATTCCCGACGACGATGACACTTTATCCAATGCCTCAAAAATATATATAAAAAAAACGCGACTACCGCAAGCGTCTTGGTTCTTGTTGATACTCGGCCCGCTGTCAAGCAAAACACATTCTTAGGGTTTATCAGTCTCAACAATTTCTTGGGTTTCTTGAGTTTCCCAACACAAACAGAACAAGTTCGTTTGCATCAACGAGCCTTGGCAGACAACTGGACTTGTCTTTGTTGGTTTTTGAAGATGGTTCAGCCTTCATCCAGGATGTTTCTTCATGTGTAGGTGACTGATGGAGAGTCTCAGCCCCCCAGCTTGTGTGACTAAAGGCTAAATGATGCCTTGAGGTGTGAATGGCTGTAAAACTGCCCGGTCAGGGGTGACTAACATGTTATTACTGGTGACACTTTGTGGGAAGAGATCTCAAGATTGCATTATAAGTACCTGACAAGTGGTGTCATCGCCCACCCTCTGTTGGCTCTTTCTGGTTCACCCTGCAGTTGTTTAGTCACATCTTGAGTCATTCCTGACCCGGCAGGTCCACGACTATCTCCATCTCAAGGAGGATGAGCCTTTGGTAGTGAACAGGCCATGTGAGTTGATGGTATGTCAGTGACTCCCCATCAGTCAGTTAGAACTGAAGAAGTATCTTGAATGAGACTCACAAATATCTCCAAACACCAAAAACACAAGTCCAGCTGCCATCGACTGAAGCTCTCAGGATTATCACGATCTACACAGACATCCTGCGAAACAGTCAAGCTTCTCAAAGCAAAACCTCCTCAAGGTTCTGGTGACTCCAACAGTCATCACACAGCAGGTTCACCATTAGCTACCCAGCTGGAAGGAGACTTCCTACACACCTTGGTTCCATCTGAGAACATGTCTGCATGGAGGCAGCTAACTGTAAACCCTGCAGGAGTTTGATGAAATACATCATGCAGTCGTGGTCACATCTTCAGCTTTGTTTCCACTGTTCCCTGTAATCCTGTCCTCCAGTCCTCAGGACGCAATACTAGACTTCCACCGACGTTCAGGCAGTTACTGGCAGTGCTGCGGCTTATTATTAAACCAGCAGAAGTCGACACAAGTTTCTCATTGTTTCTGCGCTGATAAGAGCAACTAATACTTTACAAAACAAGCACAGAAGAGACCACATCATAGAAAAGGGGACGCTGTACAGGCCCTCGTTAGTATTTGGCAAGAGGAGGCCGTTCAGAAGAGAAAAACAGATGGTTGGATGTGAGAAGGTGGACCATCATGTTTCTCAGAGTTTGGTCAAATGTAGGCACAACAAACAGCCAAACATTTACGGGACAAAATCTAAAAAGATGAAAACACGATCCACAATATGCAGATTATTTCCCTTAATAAACCAAAATCGGTGCCACTTCTCCCCTCGTTTGTTTCAGAGCTGAAATCCTTTAGACTAGAGGAATAAATTTGACATTTTTTTTCTTCCCTGTTCCGACTTACAGAGAACTGATCAACCCTAAGTTGGCGTCCGCGGAGCCCCACAGCAACAATCACATGCATTTTTAGACACAAGTCCAACTTTACGTCACTTGCCTGCCAAAGAGCGCGTAAAAATTGCACAGCTACAGTTATGACACATCATAGCCGGTGCCACAGTTGCCTTTTAAATATCTGGAATGTGCCTGTTGGTAAAACACAGTAGACATGCAAGGAGAAAAAAATACAAATCAAAAGAGTACCAAAGTCTCACAAGCTTGTAAAAAGTTGAGGCTATGAAAGGATCCGGATTCTGGGCGTCAGATGGGAAAAGCCGTCAACTGGCAGGAGGTGAGAATGTGAGAGATATGTTGAATATTTCACCATGTGGAAGCCGATGAAGAAGTTCAGCAACCCCACGTGCTGTGAAAGCCGGGACACCAGAGGATTGAGGGAGGTGGACGGGCGAGGGCCTGCTGGGTGAACCCATGCTAACCTAAATGCAGCGGAAGTCTCCGTGACACAGCAGATGGTGTGTGGTTACCATACAGACCGGGCCTCAACGTTTCTCAGCTGCCTCTGCAGGCAGAGAGAGAGCTGCTCCATTCATGGGCTGGACAGCCAGAAGACCTGCAGTAACCTGAGCATCAACGCTCCTTCTTTTCTCCGTCCCAGACCCGAGCTCACCTCGGCCTTGTCTCGTCTTTCTGCCCGGGCGTCCTGACTGAGCAGCAGCCGTGTGCTCTGTGTTACCCCCAACACATGGCATTTATGCATCGGCTCGGGGGTTATCTCAGGATATTTAACTAGACTCACGTGAAACAGGCTGATCCGGGCAGCGAGAAAAAGAAGTGAAAGCTCAGTTTCTTATGTACACACTTTGGCTCTTGGGAAAGAACATCCCATCAGCCAATCTACACGGCTTCAATAAAGGTTAGAAAAATAGAGCCTCTTGGAGCCTTTCAAGGTCGGGAAAATGTAATAAAACGTCAATCCTTTGTCCCCCCACATAAATGCATGCAATGCAAATAAGAACGACACATAAACTTTTGGCAATTTGAACACGTGGAATTCAGAGAGTCACGTGAAAACCTTGTGTTTGTTGGGACTGGGTGCAGGAATCGCTGCATGATTAAGCTTAATTGCAGTCGACTGGGTTAGAATGATTTTCAACCAAACTGTGTTCTCCCAAATATAAAAAGTCACACTGCTAACAGTCAGCGATGCTCTGCTCACAGGGAGGGAACAGAAACGTGGCAGAGCTGCTGATTATTCTGCAGGAAGGACGGTCGGTGCCAGCCATGAAAACAAAACGAGCACTGAAGCTGCAGAGTGCACGTTCAGCACCTGGCATCTTTTGAGATCCAATTTCCACCTGAGCTTTGGTGCATCGTTTAATTTTCGTCGCCCAATGTCAACATTTGCCTAAATAAATACTAATTATCCTAAGCGTGGTGCAGCAGCGCCACCAGCAAAGCGAGGGGGAGTTTTGAATCCTACCATGTCGGATCTGATCATACAAATACTTATTTCTCTATTTTAAAATCAGTGTGCACTTTACTTGGTAATAATGACGCTGTTTGTTTCTTAAAGGGGCGATCTGCATCAGGTTTGGATTTGTAGAACATTTTTCATCAACGAGATGCAAACTGCAGTCTGAGCTGAAGCCACTTTAAGCACAAAAATGTGCAACTTGCACTCAAGTTACAATCTCTGTGAACGTGGAGCTCCGATGTGCAAATACACGATTGCATAAATTTGCTCAATATATCGGACAGCAAACTCTTTTCTTTTTCTTTTTTCTTTTACATTCAAGACTGACACATATCGTTTAGTATCTATAAAAGGCTCAAGTCAAAGCTGAGGATCCAGTAGCGATGCACCGACACCACTTGTTGTCAGGCCGAGTAAACACACGAGTGTTTAATAACAATATTTCAGGTTTAGCAGTGAGCTGTGGCTTGACTACTGTGTCCCGTCCATCCAACGCCACAGAAACCCCCCCGACTCAAAGATCTGACGAGCTGCAGCGGCTTTTGGCTTTGGGCACAACGAGAATCTCGTCCCCGTCTCGAATGCTGTAGGAGTGGAGGGCTCTGGAGCTGCACCGGAGCTCCTCGGGTCCCAGGACTGAGCACATTTCTCTGTCGATGTAGAAGAGCCTGACGCCGTTGGTGGGCAGCTGCAGCAGAGCTTTGATTTGTTTCTTCAGGTCGCCCACCGTGTGCTCCAGACGGAGGCTGACCGCTTCCACCCGCTCGCCGAAGCGAACGTCCACCCGGGTGCAGCGAGGCCTCAGGTCCACGTCTGCCAGCGGAGCCAGGTGGCCGTACTTGGACACCAGGATGTGGTACCTGCAGGTGAAAGCACAGCTCGTGTCAGGCTTTTGCAAATGTATTTATATTTGCTTGAACACCTACTAAATAAACCGCTGGTGAGAAGAATGAAGAAATACACGTCTTCACTCCTTTGAAGAGAATGTGTACGAGACATTTCCATGAACTCTCTGAACCCGACAACCTGTTTGAAAGGCCAAAAGCACAACATGTACTATAGCCAGAGACTGTAAAAACTGAAAAAATAAACAGCTTGCAGTGAGCAGATTCTGTACGAACCACCAACAACAAAGAAACAGAAAGACGAGTCACTAACTGATCAGCTGGACCAACAGCGACGTGATGAAAACTCTTTTGGTTGAACTGGGTTGACCTGCAGGCTGTGTTTATGCAGACAGGAGACAAACATGAACACAAATGAAAAATGTAATATTAGCTATAGTATGTAGAGTCTCTATTTTGTTTTCCAGTATTGACAACACTTGTGTTGTACCTGCTGCTTGCAGGTTTTTCAATTTTTGCAACAGAAAATAACAGAAATTCGACTTTACATTAAAAAAAAAAAAAGATTTATGGCACTATAACTGTGTCATACAACACAGAAGCCATTTTTGAGTTCCCTCTCCTCCTAGCCATGGTTGTGCTGTTTCCACAGAGGTGCAGGACTTTATAATGCTGTGAGCCCACAGCGAGAAAATATGTGACGGGAGTAGAAAATGCTAAGAAACTGCTCGGTGTCATTTAGAGCCCTGTTTAATTACAGCTCATATAAACGCACGGCTAGCTGCACTTTACAGGTGAATCATTTGCCGAGGCAGACAAATCCCTTCAAATTTGTCAAAACAAAATAAGTAAATAGTTCCCAGTCACTGACATCTGATATATTCGTCTCATCCCTTCTCTTCATCCATCTTTTACCATTTTGGCTTCAGCTGCTTTGGCAACACAGGAAAACGTGCAACAAGTGGACTCAGCTGGTTTATAGATGCTGACGGTTTTTGGCATGTTTAGTCTGTCACTGACAAAAACAGGAACAACTTCCTCCAAAAACCTTTCGGTAAAACAGTTCCGTCCAAACACTAATAGTTTCCTGATCAAAATGAGGCGAGGAGCATAAAAGCAGGCGGACGGAAACATACCTTGTGTGTGTTTAGGAGGCAGAGAAACACTGAGTTGTCTGCCTCCTGCCTGCCGTGAGAAAGCTCTCGGCTGTCTCGGGGGAATGCGTGTTCGAGATAAGGACCCAGGAACGATTAAATAAAATCCAGGAGAAAAGGCCTGTGCTTTCAAAGCTACTGTAACAGCTGGGCCAATCAAAGCAATTTCACTTCCCTCCCCAAAACTCCTCCACAAAGCCAATCCCCTGGCCCGGGGTTTCTGGCCAGAACTCGCGGTCCACCCTGGGAATTCTCCTCTAAGGCCACAGTGCACAAAGTGCCATTCTAAGAGAAGCCATTTAGCTAAGAGGCTTCATTTAAGGTGGTAAGCACGGCATAATGGGACAAATAATGCTGCAGGTGATAACCAGTCAGCATTCCAATTGTCTTTTCAGCATTTTTCGGTAATGGGCGGGCTGGTAGAAGCAGAAAAAAACAAAAAAAAAAAACAGGATTTGGAGCTCGGTGACACTATCTAGCCCAGATCTTAGCCCAGTTCTCTTTTGGTGTTTCATCCCACCTCATTCTCTCATGTCTCCAGCCCTCTGGTTGAAAGATGACCAGCCTAAAAGCCAAAATGTTGATTTCCCCACTTCTCTCCCAGACTCAGTGTCCAGGTTCACTTCTCTACTTATTCTCCTGGATACACCGACTCTCAGATTTCTTTCTTTTTTCTTTTCTTTTAACCCGGTCCTCTCTTTCACTACAACTAATCCTTCCTGTCCCGCGTTTTCTTTCTCTGTATTTCCGTTTCCTACTTCCACAGCCCCTAAGCCATTTTCTAGATTTTCCGCAGCTCGCTAAGAAATTGTTGAGGTGTGTCAGTCGGATTTATGGTTTGGGACCGCGTTTATGGTTACTCAAAGCCCGGCCATGTCAGACGTGTTCACCTGAGAGGCTGTGACCCACCCCGCGGTGCTCTGATCTCTCGGGGTAGCGAGGCCACAGCCCCATCCGAACGGAAAGGGGATAGCGGTGTGCTCGCTGCTTACCCAGCGTGTCCGACACCCCCATATAACGCTCTCATGGAGTCCCTAACCTCGGATCTGCACCGAGAACCGAACCAGGATCACGAGCAAGGAAGACAAAAATTAGAGCGAAACACAAAGATTGAAGAAAAATGCAGTGTAATCGGCACAATGGGTCCCGTGGCACAAACATACAAACTCTTAACGCAAGAAAGAGCTCGTTGAGGTTATTAATACGACAACTCCAGTGACATCAGAAAACAAATCAATCTCTCAGCTTCAGGTTTGAGGTTGACAGAGTAGGTGTATACATAAAAAAAAAAAGAAGAAAGGAAGAAAAAAATCAACCTGCTACCTTGTGTATCACTTTTCCAATCAGAGAATTCCCAGTACAAAGGACTCATTGAGCAGGGAGAGACTGGTGGCATTGTCTCCCAAAGGTTAGTTTCCCCCAGTCAGGGACTACACCTTCCTTCAGAAATCCCTCCCCAACATTCTGCTGAGGTTAAGTGGAATGCAGTCGGTGAAGAGCGTGGGCAATTATTTGACCGCGAGCGAGCGAGCTCTCCCCCGAAAAAAAAATCATATCCCATACGGTGAACGTGTCGGAGACAAAGAGCGGCTTGTTGCTATTGTCGCAGCTTAACAGGTGTTCACACATGTGCGGATTCTCCACGTGGGACCAAGTGTTGGCACCTGCTGCTGCGTTTGTGTTATTAATAGAGACTGACAGAAATAATCTGGATCCGAGATGAAACTCCAAATCTCTCCACTACGCCTTGTGATGGCTGGAATGATTAAAAACAAAAACCCCCAGAGCTGAAAATGTGACGTTTTGATCAGTATAACATGTTTGTAATGATTGTTTTTACTTGTTTGACCCTCTGAAAAACCGAAAAACTAGCCAGAAACAGTTCAAAGAGAAGGAATTGTTGGATTTTGAACTTCCTGGCAGCACCTGTACACCTCATCTGTCTGTTTCGTCCAAATTTAAGCTGGAAAACATTAATATTACCAAAACCACAATGTTCTACATGATGCATTAAAACAATTCTACCACAAACAATAGCTGTTATCATCAGAACCTGTGAACAATTAAATATTTGTGCTCCTCGGTGCAGCTGTGACGCCGTTACTAACTCCAGCTGACAAAAACTCAGTGATTTTTGGGATGAACTGCAGGCGGTGTTTCCACAGAGCAGATAAAAGACATTAAAGATGTATGTTGTAAAATGTCTGTAGTAAGTAGAGTCACCAATTTTCTACAGTATCAGTAACACCTGTTCTACATTTGTCTTTTTTTTTAATGATTTATGACATTATATGTTTGTTATAGAGCACAAACCAGTTTTTTTTTTTTAGTTTTCTATACTTGTACTTCTGCCATTGTTGTTCTGTTTTCATGGACAAGCACGACTTCATCCCAGAGATAAATAATCAGAGAGTTCGTCCAGATGTGATGGACGCAGAAACTCTTTGGTGTTTTGTTCAATATTAAGATTTGGTGCTTTTTCCAAGTTTTTTTTAAGACATAAGAGGACTTTTAAAGTACAG